TCAGTTTAAATTTATCGCCACGAAAATCATTTTTTCGTTTGACGTTTAATCTTATGGAGATCTTTACGTTTCTTCAAATTTTAATAATTCGTGTTTCAATTCGAGCAAATAATCTAATCGTTTATCTAAATTAATTAATTTTGATAAAAAAATTTCAGATTTGATAAGAACAATGTGATAAAAATATCTCAATCGTATCTCTCGAAACATTTTTACATTGACTAGAATTGTGTCGGAAGGAAGAAAATATTGGGTTCGTGCAATTGTCCATTTTGTTTGGCAGAGTTCCAGACATACTGTCACAGAGAGACGTAGAAAGGAAAAGAAAGAAAGAGAGAAAGATATGCTGCAGTTGCGAACAGCGTAAAAGGAAGAAAAAGATGGGAAAAGAGTGGGCGTCGGTCAGCGAGGTTTCAACTCGGTTGTGCTAATGTTGAAGATTCCCGTGTTCAGAAACAACTTTTCAAGATCGTGATTCTGCTATCAAGCAAGCAGGTATCTTTTCTATAATTCAGTTGTCTATCGAACCACATCTTCCACAAAGTTTTTATGCAAAAGTGTGAAGTACATATTTGGAATTTAAAACTCGTAAGCTCATAACTTTTCACTTTTTAAATTTTCTAAAAACTAAAAATTTCTTTCGAAAATAGAAAATGCGTGTTGTTCGATTGATTCTGTCTATTATTTTGATCATTGACAGGCATTGAAAAACACTAATAAAAAATTATCTTCGCGATTTGTACATTATGATCGTACTTAAATTCCCCTTTCACTTTACTAGTTCCTAACTAAACGTCTGGATAAATCGATATTATCGAAATAACTTTGAAATATCTAATGTAAGAATATATAAAGCGTCACGACAGTAACCGCATTTATCGCACGATCTTTTTAGGTTTTTATTTTCACGTTTTGTCGCGTTTGTCTGCTTCTAGAACGAGAGAGAGAGAGAGAGAGAGAGACCTCGAATAGGCCAAAGAAAACTTTCGCGTGGCCCTGGAACGATTCTCCATGAGTCAAACCGCGGTTTCTACACGATGCACGACTATCGATGAGTCATGAACAAGCATCTATAATAGAACGAAATCTTACAATTATTGCGAGCAACCATATCAAATGATCGTTAGTAAAAAAAGATTTGAAACGTTCCAAATAAAATTGTAACATATTTTAAATTTATTGTCTCGTAAAAATAGAGTTAAAGAGAAATAATACTATTCCAGAAATAATCATTTAATTTTAATCACAAACTGTATTCGAACGTTCCGCGCGATAATCAACGTTTTTCCGGTTGGGCGAAGAGACAACCAAAATAACTACGATTACGTGTTGATTTATTATAAATAAAGATGGCATATAAGAAAATTTTGTTTGAAAAATTTCCGATAAAATATTTCCGTTATAATATGAATTATAAAATTTGCTTCTGAGAATTATTACAATTTGAATTAAAACATTTGCAACGATTTCTTATTAAAAAATAATTAAAAAAAAAATAATACGAAGAATCATAAGATAAAGGGAGAGGATGGAGAAAAAATAATTATAACTAAACACGCTATTAAATATGCATACGTATCATTGGCTAACGATAATTAGACGAGTATAAGATGCCTTTATAATACCAAACTCTTGGAAATTATCGATGCTAAGAAGTAAAATCTCGGAGGTTAAATGCCAAATGACGAGAAAGATATAAGTTGGATGATCGCGAGCCATAAAGGGGCCTCTTTGTTTATGGTATGTTCGTAGTTGTTGCGATGGTCGTTTCGATGCACAATCGAATCTTATTTGGAGAGAGCCGCCTCTACGTAGGCGTGCATCCTTCTCATTTGTGGATCTCTCTTTCGCGTCGTATGAACTCGCGCCTTCGTTTAAAAAAAAAAAAAAAAAAAAAAAAAAAAATTAATAACATCAAGTAAACGATAAATCGATCAAAGTTTAAAATTACAGCAATCAAATCTTAAAACAATTAAAACAAAAAAATAAAATTTCGAGATATTCGAAGTTGACAACAATGCAGATAAATCTTGATAACTGTTATAAAGAATCAGTGTTATAAGTTTACTCGAGTTCGAAATATATATATATATATATTAATTGCATAATAGCTGCATATACGTATGTTATCGCTATGCGATACATTATTGATACTGATCACAGTTTGTTAGTTATGTTTTACCTGGAAGATATTATAGATAATCTTATATCAACATTTTACACACAATGTAAATGTTGATAATCTTATATAAACATTTTACACATGACATCGCAAAGCATAACAAACTCACTATTGCAATATATGTGTATATACATATATACATATATGCATATATATATATATATATATATATATATATATATTTTTTCTCAAATTTATCAGATCTCTTTACGCGTTTACGAGACGAATTTCAAACTTTTATTATCGTAAACTGAATTGTTCTACAGCCGATGAACCATATGATTTACAGTCGATCGAAGTAATTCGATTAATATCCTATTACTCTTAGCGTTCACGCACGTCGGCGCAAATGGAACCTGTGTAGCGTTCAAAAGATAGCTGTGCAAGCATCGTTTGTATGCACATCGATGCATATTTCTCTGAATTATCGTATACATTAGTGCATTTTAACGAAGTCACATAATAGTAGAAATAAACCTATATCGCATTTAATGTTTATTAATTTAATTATTTAATTTTAAAAGTTTTTTTTATAAATATAAGCATAATTAATTTAAGAAAATATATTCGTGAGAAGTTAGGAATTAAAATTAAAACTAAATTCTATTTATGTTTCGATAGAAATTTATTAGATAGTTTTTTTTATCACTGAATGATTTTTCTTAAGTAAACTTTTGAATTTAATTCACAGAATATATGGATATACGAATTAAGGGCTCTAAGCAATATTCAAGAAACCTCGAGTACAGTCAGTTACAAAAACATTTGCATACCTGAATAGATTTGACTGTTGATTATAAAAATTTAGATGCACAGAAAACAAATATTATTATATTAAAATATAATTTTCAAATAACAAGTTTATAAAAATTATTATATTGCACGGTTATTAGAAAATTGTTAATAAATAATTTTTATATTACGAAAATATTTAGATTTCTGGATATGATTATTTTGATCCAAATTGATCACTTATTCTATTTTCTCAATACAATATAAACTAGAAAATTATGGTATTGATATTTGCAAAACGTCAATACAACGAAAATTCTTGCTACATCTGTGCATGAATTATTACTTATTATTTATTTCTATTACGAATATCATCGGTCGTTTTATTCTATGATTCGAAATGCATATTCATATTGTCGCCCACCTACTATTGTTAAATATAAATACATGTTTTGGATTTAAATAATATGATGAATTTGCGTTTTTCACTTAATATTATTATGAACATTAAAACACTTTTCTTTCTTAATACTTGTAATAATATCACGTTTATCCTTAATGCTAAAAATCTAGAGAATCACGTGTCAATTATAATTTAAATCAAAATTACTTATCGTCATTCCTACATTTCTATATGGTAAATGATGTTCTACTTTTATGTATTTTACATACATTTAAAATATAGTTAATGAATGCTTGATCGTTAACATCCGTTACATTTTATTTTTTTTATGGATTTATAAAGCTAAGAAAACTGTGACATTTATAAAATATCACAATAATGGTATAAGAATTAGCTATTCTTTTATCCTATATTTATATAAACATATATAATAAATTATTTTCGTAGTTCTATTATTTGAAAATTATATTCCAACGCAACACGATGTATTTTTATCTTTCAATTGTATTTATCATAAAATATAAAGTATAAAAATCAAATCTATACCGGTGTTGAAATAATTTTGTGATCGACTGTATACGTAGATATATCGAGTATTTCACTCACCAACACTTTGGTGAAGCGCCTTTCGAGTTCCACAGCGTCGGGCATTGGTTGCCTTGGCGCGCCACGGACGCTGCCACTCCGTGCGTGTGGTCCACCCAAACTTCCCATGCCAAGGCTAGGTTGATAGGATTGAAGAGGCGTGCCGCCCTTGATACCACCAATGAATACTTCACGCACACCGCCATCGCTTTCGCCGGCACGACTCTGCACGATCCCCATTGTTTCAATCGTGGCAAATATATCCTGCGCTGTATTTGCACACGAAAATCGTGACGCACGGCAACGATGGTAGCCTGTACTGTCACACCACGAGAAACGTCAACAATGATGATCACGACAATTCATCGTCACTGGAATATAAATCACTTTTCTATCTACGACAAACGTCGATATGTGAATGACTCGAACCGGTCCGCGCCGGGTCGTGCAACAGGTATCAAGCCGTCCATTGCGGACATAAACTCTCACGAACGTGCGCGAACCAAAGCACGACCTACACTCCTCTACCTATACTAGACGAAGCATTCGCTGCATCTGTGGCAATCTCGCTACTCCCTGACCAGCATCAGCGCCATTACACATGCGTCATATTTCGCATTAGCGCCATCTACATTGCTGTGATAATTATATTGTATAGTTGGTAACCATGCAATTCTTAATTATTTTCTCATAGATGGAAGCACGATACTACACGATGCTGAAATGAAATAATTAAAAATTTGTAAATTTAAAATATATTTTTTTAACAATATTTATTAACAATAACGCATTTTATATATAATTTTATATAAAATTTATATTATTACTAAATATTAAATGCTCACATCATGACAATTAATTAAAGAAAAGAAATTATTTATATGCATAAAGTTTAAAAGATTAATTTTTCATTAGAAAATATTAATGATAAAACGATAAAATATTAATGTAGATATATATAAAACTTAAAAATATATATATATCAAAAAATTTGTATTTAAAACTATCGATAGATCGACAGTTTAAGATACGATGTGATATCGAGATATCGATTGGTCGTTTAGCGTCTCGTAACATAAATAATATGGCGTCGTTTTAATACATCGTTTTGTAGAAAATATTATTTGTAAATATTTGTAGACTCTATGAAACAGCAGTATAGCGTAAATAACAAAATGAAAAAGTCTCCTTTAAGTACACCGAGTGGTAGTAAAGGAAAGAAAAATTACAATTGGAAGTCGCACGAACATAAAAGTAGAACAGGTTATAGTTATGTTAAAAGTGATAGTTATCAGTGTACTTCACCAAATGGTGGTCAAAGACAGTCTGGAAATGACTTTATTCCTTTAAATATTAGTACACCAATGCCAGAACAGAACAGAAGACACAGTAGTAATTGGCATGGTTCTGGAGGTCGTAATCATCGTAATTCAGGTAGTGGTGGATTTAACCATTACAGGAACAATTATCATGCAAGCCCAAAATCAAATTTCAATAATTTATACTCTCCTTACAAGCTTCTCAGCAAGCAATTTTATAATCACAAAAAGGTAATTTTAAAGTAAAATATTATTGTATATTTGTATAAACATTTGGCTATTAATATTACAAGATAATATTGAATATTTTTTTATATTATATAGGGATACCAAAAGGATTCGCGCAAACAGATTGACATATCATGCTATTTAGATATGAAATCTTTTTTAGAAGATCCTTGGGCAGAATTAACGAAAAAGTTAAACGAATCGACAGAAACGAACGAAGATGAATTCCCTAAACTTGAACAGTTGTTTTCACCACAATCGATTTATGTAGATTCAGAACCAAATTCTGAATGTAAATCTGTAACAAATGTTGATAATTCTTGTTTTAGCCCGGAATCTAAAAATGAATCTTCCGTAGATGTAAATTTGGGATTGAATGATACAAATATTAGTAGTAGCGTATCAAGAACAGAAAGCTCGATAGATATAAAATTTGACAATGTAAGATTTAGCGAAGAATCTAAAAATAATAGCATTTGCAATAATAATGATAATACTAGTGAAAATATTCGAGATGAAAATAATGTTAATAACATTTGTATTTCAAAGACAGATATGGTTCAGAATTTTACATAACAGTAACAAAAGATAAAGTGCACTTTTAAAGAGAATAATTACTCTTTAATCGAGTGCAAGATATATTAAATTTTGTATATATGAATATCCATTGTATATAGATATTGCAAAATCTATGAAACAATTGTTTCAAATTTTTGAAATAATATTCTAGGATATGGATAAAAAAATGAAGAATTTTTTTAGTAATGTAAATTTTTTTTTCTCTATTATAAAGGTAGTCGTATGACAAAAGCATATCTAACATATATGCTAAATACAATGTATTAAAATTACATTTTAAATTATATTTTCACAAGAAGGCTGTGAAAAAGATGAATGTAGTTTACATGAAAAAATAATACATGTGCAATTCTTTAGTATGTACTAAAAAAAAAGAAGTACATATGGAATATAAGGGAACATTAAAACACCAATTTTCTTAATAATAGATTAAGTCTTTAAAAACAGTTGAAGATATAGCTCAAACGCTATAATATAAATTTAATTTATAATTTCTATTTTCTATTTGCTTAAGCTATCGATTTTTTGAAAGAAAATTTATAAACTTTAAAGTAAAAATCCGTTGAATATCGATTATTGATTTTAATTTAATAATCTATATATCTATATGTACTCTTTTTCATAATAATACAAAAATATATAAAGAATTGACAGTGTATATTGTAACATGCATATAGCAAATGCAATGCATTATACACAGATGTAGAATTAAGTAATCATAAATCATGTGCAAACTTATGCGAGATTAACTTTAAATCTTTTGTTAACAGTACCATTATTATGCAGGATGAGTCGCACAAGAATATCAAAATATTTTATTTATTTGTCATTGTGTCAAAAAATTCGGAATAATGTTATACCGTTTGAAGGTATACATGAAATGGTGAAAAAAATTCTTCTCAATTCTTATAAATGTTTTCTTTTTTGCATTTAAACTTTCATAAAAAAAATAGAATGCTTATTACACGTACCTTCAAATATCGTAACTTTGTTCTTCTTTAGTACAATAATAAATGGAAGAAATATTTGTGTTTCCTTTCTAATAATGTCTCATCCTGTATACATGTAATTTTTTTATTTATAAATCATGACATAAAATTTGTCGTAAAATATATATTTTATTTGTACATATTGAAAATAACATAAAAGCATGAAATATAAGATATTAAATTTATAAAATTAATACAATAAAAATTAGAATATTAGATTTATATGATCGTTAATGTAGATAAAGTAATACATGAAAAAATTGTTTATTTCTGAACTTTACACACTTTTATAGTATGTCTAAATGAGTGATGGACTATAGAAAGTGATAAAAATGTCCAATATGTTCGATTAATATGCTAACTTAATGTACAAAATGATCTGGTACAAAATTTACATAATTTAAGATAATTCCAGTTTATTTCAAAATTGTGATTTTACATGATTGTGCAAAAGATGTAATTGATGTCTAAAACATTAATTGTATAAATAATGTGTACAAGAAAAATATACCTAAAAATATATATATATATATACATATATATATATGTATATGATAGTATTAATTTCAATATCCTTTTAAATAATATATACGAATAATCCATCATTTTTTTATATATATATTTTTATCGATTGTTAAATTTGAAGAATTAATTTTCCAATAGTAAAAATAAAAAGAATCGAATTGCTTGGTTTCTGGACTAAATTTTTTAATATATCGAATTAAAGCTTAAACTTTTAGAAATAATTTAAGACTAATTTTTCTCGAATATTTTCTTTCGTCTGATAATTACAAACAACTTTGAAAAAGATAATTATGTATATACACTACATCATCTATTTAAATAAACGGGAATATTATTTGTTCAAAAATATTAGTCTCAAATTATTTATAAGAATCTAAATTAAAATTTAAATCTTTAAAATTTAAAAAAAATTAAAAAAAAAAAAAAAAGAAAACGAAAATATGTTCAATTGACATCCCGTACCTCGTCTGTTGTCACGCTACAGGAAATTATAGATAAGAAAAGAAGATTATGAGACAAGGATGAAAATAAGGTAGAAATATTGAAATCAACGCCATCTTCAGAGTGCCGCAGATGAAACATAAAAAGAAAGGACAGAAAACAGTAAGAGAAAGATAGAACAAGTAATTGACCATGAATCATTAGTACCATCTCGCGAATACTTTTAAAAAGATAATTGAAAAAATGTCTTTGACACTCGAGAGATGGCGTCGATGATTAATTCTTATCTCATCTCTATCCTTCTCCTCCTATTTTCTGCTTTTACTTTTTGTGTTTTATTTGTGACACTCTGAAGATGGCACTTCAATACTTTTACCCTATCTCTGTTTTTCTCCCACTATTTGTTCTCCTTGTTTGTTTCTTGATTATTCTATAAAATTTATACGTTCAAAAAACAGTTTCAACGTCTAATTAATTTTACGTCTCTTTGATTCATATAGAAAATCATTTCTCAAAATTGTGCAATTAATTTTAAATATACATATAACTATATTTTATTCACTAATCAGAGTTATATCGCTTGATTCCTATATCGAGCGAATTACATTTGAAATCGATACTCCGATACTCCAATTGACAATTTGTACCGTGAAATTTAAGAGTCGATATGATATTAAATCACTTTAATATCAATGTGTAAACTTATATGTATAATGTAACTTGATGTTATTTCTTGCGTTTGTAATGCGTTTTGTGAACATAACCTTATATAGGACAAATATACATAAGTATATATAAATACTTACACGTATGTATAGTATATACATATATATTTTTTATTAACGATTTTGAATAATTTATCATAATTTGTAAAAATCAAACGATGAAATTTCACAAATTGTATATTTTTCTTTTTTCTTCGATTAATATTCAAAACGATACAATCTATGAAAAATTACATATATAACAAAATAAACGTTTATTACAATATGTTGTCTACAATCTAAATACGTTATTTATAATTCAGATATGATTAAAGGACATAAAATAATACCGAGCATAATAAATATCTATAAATATTGTATTTTACTGTTCAGTTTGATTGAAATAAAATCGATACAGTATGAATAATGGAATTAATCCGATGAAAAAAGTAGTCTCGTACATTTATCTAGATGAAGGGAAATTGATTACAAAAGTTTAAGGATAGGATCTATTTTTCCATTTTTTCCATTTACATGTAGTATTCCATTGATATTCCATGGTATTTCTTTATCTATTTATCGAATATTTCGTATCGACAATAATATTGATATTGTCAAGAAAAAGAAGAACGGAATAGATGACCGTTAAAAGACGGTATAATTATTCGATATACGATTAGGAATAAAATTTTTTTGAACGATATGAAAAATATTGAAATTGGAGTGATATATATGTAGCGAAAAGGATTTAGTATATTTGAATTGTTAGAATCAACAGATCATATTTCTCGTTTACGTATTTATACGCTAAATTATATAATTTGCGTGATTCTTAGATATATATACTATACAAAATTATCGATATAAAAAAAATATCAACGTTAATAGTATTTTAATACAAATTACATTTTTTATCGGATATGCTCGTTTAGAGATCATATAAAAATCACGATTTCTATTTTATTTACGTTTAAATAAATAAAGAGTTACTATGCGTGTAACGTAATTGTAAAAATATCCTTTTTTCCTTCCTTCTTTGTTTAAAATTAATATTTAACTATTACAAGTTTATAAAGTATCGTAATCGAACGTAACGATATAATATGCGTGAATTCTTTTTTATTATAAATCTAACTTTTAAAATTTATCAAAAAAATCGTCGAATCAAATTTAATCGTATCTTTTTTGTTTCGTGATATTTTAATAAATGATAACAGATGATATATTTTGCAATTTTATATATATATATATACATATGTATATATATATATATTTATACATATGTTAAACTAATAAACTGGAATTTATTGGCGATAAATATTAATATTGGTCATCGTCGTAGACACGAACTTTTTCGTTAGATAACAATTTTTCATATAATTATCTTCATTCTCACTCATTTCCCATGTCAATTTGCAAATGATAAATAGGAAAGTTGCTTCGTCGTCAAAGTTGTTTCGTCGATCAAATGATCGTTCAATATAGCACTGATCCGCTTTAGATCAACATGATCAGAATTTTAATCTAAATAAGTACATACATATATGTATATATATATATACAGAGATATTACAGTCGCTTCAAAACAGTCGCGTCTGCTACTGATATTTTCTTTTTCTTTTTTTCTTTCTTTCTTTCCTTCTTTTTTTTTTTTTCCTTTTTTTTTTTTTCTCAAAAATTGCTTAATTCGGGATTTCTTAAAACTGACCCTTCGTAAGAGAATATTTGACTCTTCTTCACATATTTGGTCTCTTTTTTTAAAGCTATAGTTATTAAACATCGGAGGTAATCGATTCTTCTTCTTTCTTTCTTTCTTTCTTTCTTTCTTTTTTTTTTCTCGATACAGGTCTCATGCTGTTACGTCACTTTATTTTTACTTAAATAATTACTCGAATAATAATCCATCGTTATTTCGCATATCCAATTTCGTCCTATATATATACACGTACATATTTTCGTTGTATATGTCATTTTTCGATATTTTACATTTCGAGAATAATCAATTTTCGAATAACGCTATAGCGGGAAAATAATCCAAGATCGAAGAAATGTCAATGTGTTTCAATGTGTTATTGTGTGTGTGTGTGTGTGTGTGTGTGTGTGTGTGTGTGTGTGTGTGTGTGTGTGTGTGTGTGTGTGTGTGTGTGTGTGAATTATTCGTTCGTTGTCTCTACACGCGTACAGCTCGATAAATCAATTTTTTAATCGATAAATGAATCTTAGCATGAATCCCTCCCTCACTTCACTTATGTATATACGACTCGTATGTTTAAACAATTTTTTGTTCGGCAAAAGTGGCGCATTTTCAGAATAAAAATAATATCATCACCTATTATAAACCATCGATTATATCTTTCACTACGAGATACGATTATAAGAGATATTTATAGATACATACAATATATATACATACATATATATATATATATATATTTATATTATATATATATATATATAAATCTTCGTTCGCTATATCATATAGAATTCGGTGATTCTAAAATTTTCTTATATCTTAACCTTAATATTTATATATATATATATATATGTATATATATCGCTTAATTCTTCGTTCGATCAATTCATTTCTTTTTCGTTTCCAAATTTATAATTTTTCGAAATATATAATTGGCAAAATTATGATTATTTTTTTATTATTTCTCCAATTTTTCCTCGTCGAGCGAAGAATCAAGAATCATAATTATCCTATTCAATGTAAACGAGTTAAAAATATCGTTATTCGTATATATATCCGATTTGTGTGAAAAAAACACGGCTCGAGTTGTGTTCACGATTATATTTACACAGAATATTTTTTGAAGAAGAAGGAAGGTAGATATAGGTAGGTAGGACGAGGATGGTACTCGATCACGATTGAGCGGAAAAAAAAAAAAAAAAAAAAAAAAAAAAAAAAAAAATTAAAAGGTACGAGAAGAATCGTGTCGATCGTAAGAGTTAAGGTTGCATTATCGATTCGCTTTTATAACTGGTATAATATCGTTATCTATTATAGGTATATACGTGACATCGCGTATTTAGTCATCTATACACAAGTTTTGGATTGATACGTGCGACAGTATTCATAACTCGGGATAATCGATCGATTATCGCTTCTTTCCTCCATTCTTTACTCCATATCTCGACCGAAAATAGGAATAGAAAATGAAATTACGTCGAAAGCGATAATTTCAATTATCCAATATATATATATATATATATACATAATTGGTATATAATAATATTCGAACGATATTGAAATCCAATTTTCACGAATTGCGGATTTAAAAAAAAAAAATAACACATTTCTCTACGATATATCACATATTATTTTTTTTTTTTCATCCTTCTACGTATATGTATATATATATATATATACACATGTATTCAACTTTATACAATAGGTAGTTGTTTCGTTTTCTTCGTTTAAAATTGATTCGCAATTCGATTGGTCGATTTTTTATCTTCGTGTTTGGATATTCAAGTTCGCACGATAGACACGTGATATGCAATTTACGAAAGAGACTTTATTAGGTTGGTTGGAAAAAAGTGATTTCGAGATTTAAGATGACGTTTCATCTCGTCATTTATTTTTCGCTTCGATTCAAAAATTTTATACGCTGAAAAAAAAGAAAAAAAGGAAAGAAATGAAACAAGTTGGAAAAGAAATTGAACCGCGTCATTTTTTCCCATCAACCTTAATTAATATTCTTTCTTTCGTCTACGTATTTCGAACGATGAGAATTAAATAGAAATGCAAAATGGAAACGAAACGCGACGTAGAAAGAAAGGAAGAGTAAAGATAAAAAAAGAAAAAAAAAGGATTATTTAATAAATTCGTCGATATATGTTTACAACTATTTATTTGGTCCCCGAATTTGACGATATTCTACGTCGTTTCCTATGATTCAAATAAAAGCAAAGCGATCATAACGATCCAAATCTTTCCCTTTTAAAATTAAAAAAAATTGTCCCTTCTTCGAAGAACGGTGATCTTCTTTCGAAAATCGATCGTCGTCATACGAGAACATAAATGTCGAAGCGCGAAATTATGGCCCCCTTTGTACGCGTATCGTGCCGATTTGGTCCAAAAATACGCTTAAATAGCGACTAATAAATTACTCGAATCAAATTTCGATCTAATCGATAAGCTCTCATCGATATTCGAGATGCGCGGCGATACAAGGATTCGAGTGAAAACAAGTAAGCGTAATTGAACTCTGTCGCACATATTTTTTACTAATCGCAAGCGACGATTATCGCATCGTAAAATTTCAAACTTTCGACGATGAAAGCAAAATTCTTGAAAAGAGGAAACGTAATTCATTCTCTATATTTATATATATAAGATCGTAAGTAAAATTTTGAAAGCTCTTAAAATCGATCGTTCAAAAATTCATACATCTCGATAACGCGGATAAAAATTATTTAAAATTATTTCACTCCTTTATTTTCTCTATATACACCTCATTGTTTAAAATCGAACGATAACGGCCAATACCCTTCTAATAGGATATCAATCGATTCTTTTTCGTAACAATGAAAAGGGAGAAAACAAGAGATTGAAATATCTATCGGAATTTAGATCGTTTTTGTCACGATCGTATTATACGATTATCGTCTGATATGTGAAACGCTTCGTCACGCTTGCAATATATATATATATATATATATATATATTCGATTTTTCCTTCCTCTCCTATTAATTGTGAAAAATTAAATCGAGCGAATGAAATTTTCAAGCATATCCGTATCTTTATTTTCTTTTCGAAAGATGGCTGGTCGACAACACGAGGAAGAGGAGCGGTCGAAACGTGGGAAAAATGGATTCAGAGAGAACAAGGAAATACGAAAAGGAAAGTAGTAAAAAGAGTGTACGCCGTATCGTGCCGAATAATGTCACACGAAACATCTATTACGCGATATCTTGGAAACGAATATCGATCTGTCACCGGCGAATCAACGAATCGGAACGCTTCGAGGGAGGGGGAAAGAATATATCGAAATTGACGTTGGATACGATCGTCTGGAATCGATACACTCGATTTTCTTTCTCGAGGGCTTTCTTCTCGCACGAGTTCGAGATATCGATCGCATAACGCTCGCAACTCTGCCCCCTTCGAGTTCTCTTCCTTCCTTATTTATCCGACTTTCGCAAAGTTGGAATTTTGGACAAATTTTGGGCGAGATTAGGGTAGGAGGGACGAGCGGTAGGGTCATACGAGGAGCTCCTTGAGGAAGTCCTCGGCAAGCAAGTCCTACAAATAATCGTCGACGCGGTCGTTCTCGTCCGGCGGGCTGGGCTCGCTCACGCTCAGTATGGGCAGGCCGAAGTGTTGAACCTCGATGCTCGATTCGGGCGTACGCTTCGTCGCGTAGTCGCAGCTCTTCGAGTGTCGTTCGATCCCCCCCCTTCGATGGTAATGGTGATAGCGAGCCGGCCGAGCATCCGTGTCCCCGGATCGCCGACAATACCTGCCAATTTTATCCCTCCTGTCATCCCCATCTCGAGGAGACCCCTCCCCCTCCCCCCCACCTTCCTCCGTCGTCCACGTCTCCACGATCGATCCCGATACATCTCGACGTATATAAAACGATACAATCGGATATATCGTATCTTCTTTCTTTTTTTCGAAACAATAATTCGAAGGGGGATTCTGGAAGGAGACGCGGCGAAGGAGAAGGATTTCTCTTACCTCTCGTCCATGGAAGCGGGTTGCCGCACGGGGCATCGAACGTACTCGTGACTTCCGCCTGCTCTCCATCCACCGAAACGTCGGCCGACCAACGACGAGGAACACGTGACCGGCGAATCCCTGTAAACGTTCGCGCCTGAAAATTCTTCTTCATTCTTCCGATCGAGAAGTATCATAAAAATGATAACGTAACGTCGATAACGAAAAACGGTTCCTTTTTACATTGCCCTTTTACGTTGCAACGTTGTCCTTATCGTTATTATATACGTATCGATCGCGAAAAGAATATTGCGTAAGTAAGATCGCAACGTTTTACGTAATCGTCGAACAGTTGCACGTAACCGTGTGTCGTTCTTTGGATTTAATACGCTTACGTAAATTAGAAAAAAAAAAAAAAAAAAAAAAAAAAAANAAAAAAAAAAAAAAAAAAAAAAAAGAAAAAAAAGGTTAACGAGAAGATCGATTCGTTCAAGAAAAGTGGAACGCATGGATAACGATGGATCTATTCGCTTCTTGTCGGGGAATTCGTAGTATTCGCACTCCGTCGAATGCAAGGTTTTATTCGAGAAGCGACACGTTCGTGTTTTATTCCCTTTGGCGAAAATTCGCGAGATCTAACGCACGTTTTTTTCCATGGAAAGGAAAGGGACTCGAGTATAACGATGTTATATCCGTCACGTACGAATAGCGAAAGATTTAGATCAGAGGCGCGATGCGAATGGAAGAAATTTTTGAGACGAGAGGAAAAAAAGGAGGAAAATTCCACGAGTTTTTCGCAAGCTTCGCAAGTTGTTCTTAATTACAAGCTCGTTATATCGATCGTTTCGATAATCTTGGATAACTTAAAAGAGATTTAAAAGAGCGGCGAAAAAAATCTTCTCAAAGTTAACTTACTATCAATTATCCGATATCTAATTAACTTTGGAACGGATATTAAGAGAGTAGAAAGAGAAATTTTCCCCGTGAATTTTCAACTTGAACGTTTCCTTTAAAAGTTTCACTCGATGGAATAAATAAATAAATAAATAAATAAACTTTGACGCGTAATTCAACTTGCGAAAATTCTTATTTACAAAAAAAAAAAAAAAACAAAATCTATCTTCCTTATCTTTCGAGAAAGATAAGAACGATTTCTCGATCCTTTCGTTTTCCACACTGAAGCTATTGTAAAACGTAAAAATAATCTTAATCTCCTTGATCGTGATTAGAAAGAACGGATCCCGGATTCGTTCGAGAGGAACATCTTTTCCCTTTCCATTCCATTCCGTTCGCGAACGAGAATTACCTGGAAGATTGTTGTTGATGATTAGGATCGAGCAACGAGATGTCCGGATTGTCCTTGGGACAACTCTCCAAGCTACTGTGCCTCTTCGATTCCAAATCCTCGGATTTCTCCTCCTGGGTCGATCTCAGGAACGACTCTTTGTCCCCGTCGATCCCATCCTCCTTCGAGTTTCGTTGATCTTGTCGATTCGAGGACGCTAATGGTAAATTATCCGCGCTGCGAACCTTCCGGCACAATTTCGACGTGGAACCGTGCCGTCTTAAAAATTCCTGCGAAAATCCCATGCGAAAAAAACCGCATTGCGGGCACAGTCGGTAAAGTCACGCTCTCTCTCGCATTATTTACAAACCGTCACTTCATTTCAAACAGAACGCTGTTCCTTCTCTTCCTTTTCTCGCCGGCAAAACTGGCTGGCGCTCGATACTCGAAGAAAAATGTAACGAAAGAGACAGAGAGTCGAAATTTATTAGGGAATAGATGTATTTATCGCGAATACGGATCTGACGAGTGTGTATACCGCGTGCAAAAAATTCGTTATAAAAAAAATGGGGGGGAGACAAAAAACGCGTGGCGATTATCGCGATGGCGGTCCATGCGACGAGGGAGGGGGAAAGGACGAATTCGAACCACGTACGTTCGGTTCGGTACGAGCGAAACGAAAGGGGCTTATCGATCAACCCGTGAACTACACCTCACCTCCGACTACCTTGAACTTTAACGTTTCTGACGTGTCTATCTATTTTGTACACCGCTCTCTTTCGCGCTCTCGTTACATATTTCAATATGTAACTCGCCTCCCATCGAGCAGACGCCCGAATATCGCCCGAACATCGAGAATATCTCCATCTTCGTTTTAAACGATTCGAGATCTCGATCGATCGGGAAGAGCGGTCGGAGGGGAGGAGAGGAGAGGGGAGATGTGGAGACTCGATCGATTCTTTCATCGATCATCGAGCGAGATGGAAACGTTCGATGGAAATCTTTTCTTTCGCGGATTCTCGGAATTTGAAATTTCTCCACGATCCCTCGTCGCCTCCTCCTCCCCTCGCCGCGACTGCGAACGGTTGGAACGGTTGGTCAGCCTCGGATCGAATACCTGGGATAGGAAGCCGGCCACGTCGATGGCGCTGTTCACCCGCGGCCTCGAGGTTCTTGCCCATCCGAAACCGCCTCCGCTGTCCAACGAGTCCACGTGATGGCTCGACCAGTGCAGATGCTGCGGAACAACGCCATCTTTGATTAATCATCCTTCGCCCTTTCATCCCCGATATCCCCACCAAGATCCAAATTGCATTTTCAATTGTTGTGATTTTTTTTTTTTCAAGCGTGATCGACCGACAGAAGGCAGACAAGGAGGACAAAGAATCTATCTACCCGCTAAGAATAAGTATTCTCGTGTCGCGATCCTTCTTCTTATACACACGACTCGAATGATGATCGACCGTATCGTATGCTAATTCGATCGTTAAAAATTTAACCCTGTGTATTCGTACGTTTTCGCGACATATCTTCCGACGTTTCTTTGTAAATAAATAAACAAGTTGTCCGTCGTATTTACGTCGAATCACGTATTCCGCGATTTACGAGAAATAATTTTCTATTATTTTTCCTACAATTGTTAAGCATGCAAATCTCTTGTATATATACACGAAAGATATACTATTTTTAGCGGGTACCAGAGTGAAGAAAATAATAAGAGAATATCAACGATTTTTCGACGCATCGAAACCCTTTAAACCTAATTTCTTAATCCCCGGATACCTGTTCCTTAAGGTTTTTCGTGTCTCTTTTACCTCGTATAACGAGATCATTCCTTATATTTCATTCCACTTTGATCTTCTTCTCTTTTATATACGTATAAACGAATGATCGTAAACGATTTGCAATTACGCGTTAAATTACGATGCACGCATATCCGATCATTTCCCATCGTTTGTCTACCTACTATACTTGCACGTGTATCCTCGGATGAAAATATTTTTTTTCATTCTTTTTCTAAATTCGAAAATCGATATTTAACCGAAATGAAATCGACGCGGATACATATCTCGATCGTCCTCGCAAAAATAATAATAAACTAAAAGATTTGATAAAAATTTATATATATATATACGTATATAATATATATTCGATATATAATTATCGAATAATTTTATTTCGAGTAGGATAGAAAAATAGAAAAGTACGTTCAATACGCGTAATTTCATCCGAGTAATCGGTAGAAAATATTTTTATCATGCTTTTCGAATCGATTTCATTCTCTGAATTTAAGTTAGTATAATATAAATCTACCTAATTTTTGCTCGAAGGAGTGTAGTAAGTAAACAAACAAGCGTTCTCAAATGGGCAAGCGTTTTTTTCCCGGTGATCACGTGACATATCGTATCGCGTCACTGTGTAAAAGCTGTGTCAAAACTCGTTCGCTCTTGTGCATGTGTTTTCTTTTCTTTTCTTTTTCCTTTTTTTTTTTTCAACGTCGATTCGTTCGAATCATACAACACATACATATCGTGTGATATACCTGTGCAGAAGAATCGGTTTGCTAAACGTGCGTAAGTGCTCGTCATTCGACGACTTGTGTGCACGATGAGCCGTGAAACGAATCGAAGCATCGCACACAGATTACTCGTAATTCCAAGCGGATCAAAAATGTATATTATTTACAAAAGAGTGATCAATGGCAACAGAAAGAGAGAGAAAGAGAAATAGAAAAAGAATGAAAGAGAGTGAAGAAATAATATCCAATTAAATTAAACTTTTTTTTCAAAATGACAAACTTACAATTATTGGCATTATTAAAACTTTTTAAAGCTGCTCGTATCTGCTTATTATTTCGTGCTATAAGAATAATACGAATGAATGATAAAGTTTCTAATAATTTCTCATAAACGAGATCGATGAATGAGTGTTTCGTTTTATTTATACGCGATTAAAATTGAAAGGAGAAAGAAAGAAAGAAAGGATTTGGGTGTTTCGAGATACTTTGTATAATTTGTTATCAAACGCGAACGATACGAATCGAAGGAGATTCGAGAGAGAGAGAGAGAGAGAGAGATAATTGCTCTGTTTCTTTCGTTTTTTATGCTTTTTAATTTTTTATATTATTTTTTATATTTTTTTATGTTTTTTACTTTTTTATTTTTTATTTTTTTTTATGATTCAATGAATGCGTCCAAATATCGTGTACGCCGATATAGAAGAGGAACAAATAGAGAGAAAAATATTTACCTGCTCTCTTCTAGTCTCGGACGGTACGATCGGATCAGTTTTGCCGACCGGTTGGTTCGCGTCTTTGCTTCTTAATTTAATCACGTATTTTATTCGATCGAAGTCGAATACATGCATACGTCTATGTACCCCGATCTCCACCAGAGGGATTCTCGCCAAGATTTGGGTCACGAAGCTATTACCCCGGTAAAACTTTGAGACAAGATATATTTAGCGGAGCCATCGTTCTTCCCATGTTCTTTCTATAAACGTCCCATTACCAACACGGATACGGACCTTTTCCACCGTGATTCTCCTCCCTCTTGATTCTCCTTCCTCGTAACGGAACGGAACGCTACTTGATAACATCTTTTATCAAAATATAATAATAATAATATATCGTGATATCGTATCACGGATGACATCAACGCGAGGGGTACATAGATGACGAAACTTTTTCTCGTCGTTCGATCGTAGTTCGTCGATACGAAAAGACGAGAGGAAAAGAAAGAGAAAAGAAAAAGAAACTCGGCTCGAATAATAATAACCGAGCGAGAGAGAATCGGTGAGATAAATAGTTGGAAAGTTCGGAAATGATATTATCGGTGTGATGTTATAAGCGTTAAAAGGTGATGCTACTTGTCGAATCGAAACAAGTGAAGCGTGGTTTTCGTGCCGAGTGGACGTTTCTCCACTTCGTCGTTCCTTTCTATATATCCTTTATATACCGACTGTTCCCACTTTCCAAAAATCTTTTTTTCTTTTTTTCTCGCGTTATTTCGATTCGAAGATTATCTCTTTTTTTTTTACTCGAAACGTAATAAACGTGATAACACATACGAAATTGACACGTATCGATCGATCGATCGATCGATCGAAGGAATATTCGGAAATAAAGGGGAGATGTTTTGGAAGTTTTTTTTTTTTTTAATAACGAAATTTTTAAAGGGGAATGGAAAAGGACGGAAAGAGGGGAAGGGACGTTTTGTATCAAACGATCGTTGACGAGCGCAAATCAAGGTTGAGAGCAGCGAACGTGAACCGAGTTGAAAGCGAGAACCTTTTTCCCCCCTCTTCTCTGTATATGCACAACCTACATACACGGTTGGCACACGCCCGTTTTGTCGAAATATTTCACGTCGCGTTGGAATTTTAGGTCAGAATTTTAGGAAGATTCGACGCAACGCTCCTCTAAATTATCCTGCGAATATTTTCTTCCAGTTAACCAATTGAAAAGAGTAATAGTTTCCAAAATTCTAGAAAGAAAGAAAGAAAGAAAAAAAGTTCGATAACCCGTTTATTCGAATCGTTCACAATAATCGCGGAAGAATAAAATTGCGAGCGATTTCTTTGAAAGATTGAATCGCGGTGAGAAATTCATGCACTGTTTGGAAAACGAGAAAGAAAATTTTTCCCTGTATCGTAAAAATTGATTCTATATCTCGTTATATCATAGTTTCTCGCGTCGAAACGATATTTTTACGAACGCGCACGATGAATAGAAAGAAAAAGAAGAAGAAAAAAAAGAACATCTTCAAGAGTCGGAAATGTATTTATACGAGATAATTTATACGTACGAAGAGAGGAAACCGGAGAAAGGAAATGAAGATGAAAATTCACGGAAACGTAAGTAAAATAACATTCGCGATAAACTTTTAATTTTCGAGTTAAAGAAAAAGATTCTCTTTCTTTCTGCGTTCGTCAATTTTATTTCTATTCTTTTTTTTTTTTTTTTTTTTTTACGAGAATACCATCGCGTTTTAATCGAAAATAATTTTTTTTAAAAGCTTCATATCCGGTAATGGAAAAATATCGGAAAAATAATATTTCGGCTTGCCAACTTCAAAGCATGCAAATTTTTCGTATATTGGACGATGTACGAGATACGTATCGTGTAAATTATTATACAAGCCGTTCCCTTCGAAATCGCCGCGATTCTATACGGTTATGTATATGTTCAGAATCATTTTTCACGAGAAGAGTCGAAACGAAAAACCGTCGAAGAGAATTTAGAATTTCGGATATGAAAAATATACGTGCACTGGCAAAGAAAGAAATCGTCTATATAAAAGATAACGAAAGTAGCGTTTAGCGGTTACGAATCGCATGCATCGCAAAAAGAAAAGCGTTTGATTCAAAGCGTTTCTACTGTACGTGTACTGCACGCGAAATAATATTCGAAAGCTGACCGCAAAACACAAACTTTTATGAGTAATAAAACTTTATAAGAAATTATATCGAGGTCCTGCAACTATTCTTTCGACCATTACTTTTTTTCTTCTTCTCCACTTACCTGATTATTTAATTCAATTATATCGAGATTATCTTTAACATCGAAACACGGAACGATATCTCGATTTTTCTCGAATATCGACCGTTCACTTCAATTCGAATTAAACGAAATTCGCCCAATCCCTTTGAATTTATCTCTTCCCTTATAAACGAACACTCGATGAAAGTTGGCAAGCCTAAAAAATTTCGCTGATTAACCCCTCTCCCCTGATTCTTGGTTTGCGCTCATTCCTTATACATCTCTCAACGTATCAATCTCGTCATACTCGCTCGTACGAGAAAAAAATATTCGATCGAAAATTCGAATTACATCGAGTTAAAGAATTTCGATACGTACGAAATCCTATCGCTGTGCGGTCGCCCGAATCGCGAGATTTTTACCTCGGTCGGTCGATTTCTTAATCGACACTCGATCGATTAATCGGAGAACTCGGTCATCGTTGTATCCTCGCGTTCACGAGGAAAACCGCGAAAAGTGGACTCAGTCGGGCGGAATGAAGAAGAGGCGCACACATCGTAAAAGCAGAAATACGAAAGGCACACATCGCGACAGTATTGGAGGGAATAGAACGAGAGAGAAACGGCTGAATACGGAGCGAAGAAGACGAGGAACAAGACGAGGGAGAAGTGGAAAGAGGATGTAACGGTAATAATAGTGGTGGTGGTGGTAGAAGAAGAGGAAGAAGAAGAAGAGGCAATAGTAGAAATAGAGATTGTTAGCAAGTACCGATGGTCACGCGATGTCGGCCCTGTGGAGTAGAGCGAATTGGCAGCCGCAGTCCCGGGGCTCTCGAGCTCTCCTCGGGTACTGAAAGCACTGCTCCAACACGCAACAGCCCCCGCCCCCACACTGCATCACCATATCCGACAATGTGGTCATTACCTTCGAGATTTTATGCGGGCGATACGTTCGGTGGCCCGTCATTTTTCGATTATTCGTTAAGTCGGACGCAACGGACACGACCAGACGGTTGGCAGAGGCACAAACAGATCGATTCCATTAGAACACGTGCACCGATTTCAATGTGGATGTCTATATATCTGCTTTTATATCGCGCCGATAAAAATCCGAAATTTTCAATTCTCGAGAAAAAAATAAAAGCAAGTTCGAATTTCGGATTGTTATCGCGAAAAAGTGAGGAATCTTAAGTGGATTATGTTTCGTTTTAAATTCGCTCTGCCAATTTTCCTATTCTCTCCTTCCAAGTATTATTCTCTGTGTCGAGATCGATCACATCTCGTCCATCCGAATTTCCACGAATTTCACCGACCTAAATTTCCATCAATGATCGTTGGACCCGATAGCGGAAATTGGCGTCAATTCCGTCAAAATCTATCGATACGACGATCGATAAGAATTTTTCAATTTTCCGTTCGAAACGGTTTCTCTCGTCGATTTACGATCACGTTCGATTTTTGTCCATTTTTCATTTTCCGATCGTTAAGTTAAAATAATGAAGTAGGTATTTTTTGTATATCACGTGATTTTAATTAATCGATCGAGGAGGAAAGCGATCTCGAGTTTTCGATATTTACAAATCATTGGCAAAAATCGTGAATGAAACGCGAATGTACGTATGTATATATGCATGGAAAATTTACGAGATCGCATCCTTCCCCGAAATGAAAGTTTTAGACGTGGACAAATGGGGCACCGTTCGAGCGAATATATATAGCTCGATTCGATATACGTCTTTTTGATATACGTATAGCCTTCGGTGACAATCCTTCCGAGTGTCGCCCAATTAAACTCCACCGGAATCTGATCGAATCGATATCTTTCATCCAATGCCGAATACGTATTTTACGATTTACATTTCCTCGATCCAAAATAACGCGTTCGAATATTTTATCGATTATACCTTTTTGTTTATTTCAGAAAAATTGCTCGAAAATTAAAATTAAATGTTGAGAGACAGAGAGAGAGAGAGAGAGAGGCAAAGATTTCACCAATTTTGATTTATGATAAACTTACTACGAAAATAATATTTTATTCGGGAATATTTTATTCCCAATTATCCCTTCTCGTTTATTTATTATTTCAGAAAAATTGCTCGAAAATTAAAATTAAATATTGAAAGAGAGAGAGAGAGAGAGAGAGAGAGAGAGAGAGAGAGAGAGAGAGAGAGAGAGAGAGAGAGAGAGGCAAAGATTTCGCCAATTTTGATTTACGATAAACTTAATACGAAAATAATATTTTATTTTATTTTATTTTATTATTTTATCATTTTATTTTATTTTCGGGAATATTTTATTCCCAATTATCCCTTCTCGTTTATTTATTATTTCAGAAAAATTGCTCGAAAATTAAAATTAAATATTGAAAGAGAGAGAGAGAGAGAGAGAGAGAGAGAGAGAGAGAGAGAGAGAGAGANTTTATTACGAACGTTACGTCTCTCGATCGAAATTATAAATCGTTTGGATTTTGGAGGCGATTGAAAAAGATTCGAGAAAAAAAAAAATGGATCGCGCGATTTCGATCGAAGGATTACGAGTAAATCGAATCGCGCAAAGTTGGCGGTGTGAAATCGTAATAACGTTGCGTCGTACGTAGGCTGCATCGCATCAGGCTCGGGAGAATACCTCGCGTGACGTTTATTATTAATTTAACTTTCATGAAATGTCAAACGATGATACAACCCGTAAATTTAGTATAATTTTTTTTCTATATATTTCGTTTCGTGGAAATCACGCGTATGCCCCTCTCCCTCCCTCCCTTCGATAATTTAAAAACACGGCAGAAATATCTATAAATTTGTAATCCCGTGTTCGATTATAATTCAACGATTTTTTCCTCTCTTCTAACTTTTATCCACATTTATTTAAATTTTCGAAAATTCCAGATGATATTTTCAGATGATATCACTTTCACTTCGAGCGAATAATTTGATCGAATAATAAGCCAGAAATTCGTGACAGAGATATCGTGACAGTTGCTTTTTTTACGCGGAGAACAATCGGAAAGAAACAATCGATCGGCTGTTTTTCTTCTCCTGGAAAAGTAATCTCGCGACTATTTCCGATACATCGAGTCGCGAACATCGTATCGAAAATTATTATTATTATTATTATTATCATTATTATTGTTATCATAATCGAAACGATAAAACGAAAGGCGATAAAAAGATAAAATGGAGGGGAAAGACGAAAGGGTACAATTATGCGTTACCTGAGAACAGGTGTGTTGAGTGGGATGTTGCGTGTACGCGGCGTTCGCCGCTGCGCACACCCCGGTCCCGGGAACTTTCAATTGTTCCTTGTAATCGGGCTGATACGGCAACAACATACGTATCTTGCCCCAACGATTGAAGAACAACGCTATCGCGCCCGCCCAAAAGATCAACACCAACACGACTATGCCCACTTCCACGCCACGGACCTAGAAGAAAAAAAAGAGAAAAAGGGAAAAAGAAAAAGAAAAAAAAAAAAAAGAAGAAGAAGAAGAAAGAGAATACGTTCGCCCGAACGTATTCCAAAGGGCGAGGAAGAGATCCTTCGAGGCAATCCTCTACCTGTATGTAAGCTTGCGGCTGTTGAGAAGAAGGCGGAGGGGGTGGAAGAGGGCCACCGGTCACCGCTGCATCCTGTTGCGGGGATGTTCGCGGCGGCTCTAAACAATCGAGGGTTAACGCTCGATAGATAGATAGATGGTTCGGATATGGAAGGAGAAGCGGCGAAACGAGAGTGAAGAAAACGGGGTCGCAACTTACCAAGCGTGCGGAAGACGATCGGCCGACTTCGAAATTTTTTCCCACCTCTGACGGCAGTGACGACGAGTTGGTATTGCGTGTCAGCCCTCAGACCGCTCAACGTGACCGCCTCGCTATTTCCCGCGACCACCGCCACCACCCTGTAACTAACCACCTTGCTGTTGTGTTTTCGTTCCTGTATCTATCTTCTTCTACTTTTTTTTTCTCTCTCTCTATCCTATCGTATCGCCATATCTTCTAAAACGCGTATCGATTTTCTTTTCTTTTTTTTAATTAACTACGTCCCCCCCTCCCCTCCAAAGAATTGCGAGCAAATTATCGTAGCGATCGTACAACGTTTCATCCAAGGTTTTCTCGTCCCGAGAGATTTCTGTCTTTTTCTCATTTCCGATTTTTATGTATTAATTTAAAAATTTAATTATCGTGAAACGATATTATGGATGGAGAAGAAGATAAGAAATTACCATCTTTTTTTCTTTCATTCGTTCGAACGCTCTCTCGATAAAATTTTCTACGATGAGTTAATCAATTCTTGTTAATTCGATAATTATTTACCGTAATGCGATTTTCGAGCCGCGTTACAAATACTTTATTACGCTCCAGTCATTCAACGCCTTCCTTTGTAAATAAATTTATACCGTTAATTTTTGAAATCTTAAAAAGTTAGGAAAAATATATTTTCGAACGGTTAAACTTTCTCGACACGAGTTATCTTTAACGAAAAATGTACACGAAGCGAATTGAATCTATGGGGAGATATTTTTCTTAAGATCATTAAAGATAACGAGCAAACTTCTTTTTCGTAAGTTTTTTCGAAGCTTCTTAAAACGTATAAGATAACGTGCTCGGTCTCCCTCTTTTTTCTCTTTCTCGAGAGAGAGAGACAGACCACGGTTTTAAATTTCTTTTAACGCAATATTTTCTCCACTCTGTTCTTTTCCATACTTTCATAACGTACATTTTTATTCTAGTAGCAAAATTACGAATTAATTTTTAATAATTATATCTTTTTTGAACTCGTAACAAAATATTATATTCCAAGTACTTTCGACCAGGATAGGATATAAACCGCGAAATAACGAAAATTTTGTTATATTGTAGTCGAATAAATTGGTAGAAGAAAAAAAAAAGACGTTACGTTTCAATGCTCGCAATTCTCGAGGAACACCGTTAAAATAGGTATGTACCTGTCGTTGTATTTCCTGTGCCGCAGTAGAAGTAAAAGCATCAATTAATATCGAGTCCTTTTCCAAACAATTTCACATCGAAAGACTGATACCAATTGATAAATGAATTCGTCTTTGAGATATTGCGAGATACATTGTGAAATCATTTTTCATCGCGCTACGCGTGTAAAAATCGTGTATAAAAAAAAAAAAAAAAAATTCTGCGACAATACTCCGTACTAACTGGAATTATAAAAAAAAATTACTATATTACTGTACTGCACTGTATTTGTGTGCGAGCTTCTTTTTCTCACGGCAATCGATGGATGCGATGTCGTGGAAACGTCGAAACGTTTAGAATTATAACGCCGCTGTGAAATGAATAATAGGCGTATCTAAAACGTAAAATAAACGAGGGTGGAAGCGTGATTGGATTTCAGATAATTTCCAGAAATCGTAACCAGGACGTGCGATCTTGGTCTGGAATACGATAGAGTAGAATAGACCGTGAAATAATTTTCTATCATACGCGATTTCTTTAACGATGGATTATATACACGGATATATATATATAATCGTGTTTGGATTCAATAGGAAAACGTCGATACGATAAAAAAAACACGATGATGCAAATTAATGGGATAATAAGAAAAGTGGCGACAACAGTTTGTCAACAATTCTTTCTCAACTAGCTATAAGTTATGAATTAACGGTAATAAGCGGTATAAAAAGTTTGAACAAAGATGATTCGAAACTACAATTTTAAATCCGTTATATTCGTTTTCTTACTTGCGAATTCAAACTATATGATGGATGTACTATGTGAGAACGTGTCGATTTAAGTGGATAGATGATTTTGTTAGATACGTACGTGGAAAGAAAAGAAAGAAAGGAAAAAAGTTAAAAGTGGAACATCGAAATCTCCAGAACGCACCTGGCATCCGTTGGCTTGTACGTGACGTCGTATTTTTCAACTTGTTCGACCTGACTGGTGCTCCAAGATACGCGCACGGAGGTTGGATTCAGGAACATCACCGTTATATTTTCCGGAACACCAGGAATACCTGTTACCGAGCCTGCACAAAGGAAACGCGTATTTGTGAGTAAAAAAAATTAAGGATTAAAGTAAGAAGCTAGGTCGACGCGATACGATAAACAAATCCAGTTGATTAATTTCGTTGAAGAGTTAAAAAAGTTAGAGAATATTGAGAAAACAGCGATAGAGAGATCCCAATCGGTAAAATCGGATAAAAACTGGGATGCACGTGTGGTAATATCGACGTAACACTGGCCAGTAGACCAATCTCTTTGTCGAACACGTATATATTTTCTCACCGTTGAATCGGTCGCAGCGGTGTCGTAAACCGGCCATCTTGACCTCGATCCTCGCTCTATAATATTTTTTCACCCGCATCGAAAGAAGTTTACAAGGTTTACGCAAACGTTACAAATAGAGTGCGGATTTTTCCGATTAAGTACACCGTTTTTATACGAACCACGCGATTATTCTCGTCTAGTAACTAGTTCAAAAATTAATCCAATTTAATAATTAATCCAATTCCGAATAATCCGAACCGATCGATCGAAAATTGACTTATCGATCGAGGAGAGTAGAGGAATTTACCTTAAAATCAGATTAAATCCTGTATAAAGTTAGGAAAATTTTAAAATCGTTATAACTTCGATAATGATAATGACTTTTGGCTGACGAACGAGGGATCGTTAGAAGCGCGGAATCTTGCCCTTTAAAACGGTTTTTCATTTATCTCGATACGACTTTTGGTTTCCGAGATATCGTCGCGTAAAGAAAAGGATAATTTTTAATCGTTTATTATCTTTGCGCCTCGTCGACTTATCCTTAAAGCTCGAGACTCGAACCTTGTTCGCAATCTCTGCGCAATAACGTTTTAAACGTTATTTCGAATATTTCGAATCCTTGCATCTCGATCGAGATACATCGAACATAAAACGAAAATTTCGCGATAAAATTTTTCCTTTTCTTTGATAATCACGCTTTTCGCACGAAAAGTTTCCAACTTTCATTCGTGACTTTGCCCGAGCGTAATGGTTTATTGTCGCGATAAAGTATTATACGATTCAGCATATGTTTAGCGCGTGTTACATAGCAACAGTGACATAGCTACGTAAAAATCCGCAGTCTAGTTATAAGATATGCACGCCGATGAATTTACGTCGCACTGTAACACGAGAATCGCGAGAATCGTAAATCGTAAATTTTTATCGATCGAGCAATTTATCGACGATTATAAATTCGTTTCCGAACGAAACGAATTTTTTGTCGTTGCTGGTTAATAATAATAATAAAAATAAAGAGAGACAAAGAGAGAAAATAGAGAAAGTAACGAGGAAATTCAATCTATGAAACGTCAATTACGTGAGAAATATAGGAATAAAATATAACAAAGTGTCAAGTAAATTAAAATATAAACTTACCTACGAAACCAGCTCCTTGTAGGAATAGTATAGTGGCCCAAAGGACCATGCCGCCAAAATGGCGGACCAGGTATGGACCGCGTATTCTTTCGCACACGTGTTTATCGCTTTTCTTTCCTTTCAGAGATGCGCCGTCTTGTTTTTTTCCTACAATCGCTGGACGTTTCGCGTACGATGCACCTCTCTGAAAATTGGTGCTCATCTAGCCTCCTCTACCGTGCTGCATTCTTTTTCTTTCATTCCACACCACACTCACTACAAAAAAATATACGCATGCACGTAATGTTAATGACTAGAAAGAGGAAGAAACATACGAATCCATTTATTACTCTATTCAAAAACATATCGATATATATATACTTTTTTAATCTTTTCTACGAAAAATCTTTTTTTTTTATATTGAAAAAAAATGAGGAAGAATAAAATTCGTGTACGATAAATTTCATATAATATATATATATATGGAAATAATACGAAAATAATAAATTCGAACGAAACGATACCGTTATTGCGGGGCCACTTCTCTCAAGAACTTGCAGACGAAACATACTTGCATCTCTCCGTCGACAGGGTAACGCGTCGACCAAAATTCATTCGAATCGTGATCTACAACATAATCGATGGAACTTTGTGCATTATCGCATCATTTGGATCCGATGATATAATTAAATTTTCTTTTTTTCTTTTTTTTCGCGACGTCGAAATCACGGAAAAAGGGAATCAAGGTGAACCGAGTTGAATGGAATTTTTTTTTCTCCTATCAACGGTTATTGACGCGTAAAAAAAAAGAAAACGATATAGACGGTAAATAAAGAGAGTTATAATACGAGAGCGGTAAGTAGGTGGTGACCTTTCCGGATTGTTCGGTGCGGCACACAACACCGGTCGGTGGCAACGAAAATACTGCGAGTGAACTGGTCGGTGTTAGCTTGCTTGCCTGCCAGCCAGCCAACCAGCCAGCCAGCCGCAAACGTTCGAGCAACAAATGAAGCTTGCGGTTTATATTGGCACGCCTTTATACGCAGTCTCTAGAACTTGCACCGAGTACCCGCAACTTTCCTCGTTTATCGTTCTCGTAACCAAGTTTCCCAAACATTTGATCGGCCGTATTCGCATTTATTAATAAGCGGTCGCGAACCATTGCTACATATTCTCAACCGCGATTCTTCCCTTCTTTCTTTTGATCTTTTGTCTTTCGCTTCGTTCAACGTTCGTCCCAAATTTTTTAACATTAAATTCGTTCCAATCGATTTCACTCGTTAAGAATAGATGAATCGATGAAATTTGTTTGTTTTAAAATCATTCACGACAAATCTATGTGAAATATCGTTTGCAAAGGATAAAGAAATGGAACGAAATGTTATTTCGGAAATCTCGAAATGATTTATCTCGGAATTAATAAAACGTGGAATGGAAAATATATCGGACCCGAAACAAATTTCGATTTATAAAAATAGCTTTCCAATTCGAGATGGTCCACGTCAATGAACCTTGCGGGTCGTGAGTCATCTGTGAAATTAACTACGTATGGAAACGTAAAAATATCATTGTTATTGAAAGTAAACGCGCCATCGAGATTATCTTTAATCGACAATCGATCCCAATCCTTCTTTCGCGATTATTCTTGTGCGTCTCGAAAAATATACGATCTTTTTTTATCTAATTTAATTTGATATAAACGATTATTTTATATTCATGGAATATAAACGAGAATCTTTTACAACGATAATACGATTAATCAATTAATAATTATCTCGTAAGAATATATTATTCGTACATTCGTAAATGAAGATATTTAATCGGAGAATATTTTATTTACTCTGAAATACGGTATTTTTAATTTTCGAACAAACGGTAAACGAAGCGTGTAAGCAAGCATAATAAAATTCTTAAATAAAAGAATCGAAGGAAATTTGTTCGCACGAGGATAGATGTTCACATGCTGTGAACGACGAAAACAGTTACGGATTCTCCGCATTGCGGTAACTTCCATTTCATTCTATCTTTGCGATCTGAGAAATTCAATTATTGAGAGATTCAGCTATTATTAAAACATCGCCCGTTAAATATTTCGTATAACTGTGTATCAATCGTGATATAAAAAACCTTTAAAACTCTCGTTACATTTTAATTGTTTTTAAAACGAAAAATCATCGAAACCGTTACTCGTTAATTGAGTGTATAAGCGTGTATAATATTTCAAACTTGAGGACGTGTACACGTGTGCAAAGGGAACTTAAATAAGTAGTCACCGGTCACTGAAAGAAAACAGACAACTCGTCAATGTCAAGATTACTATCAAGATTTTGAAAAAGATAAAAATCGGTTGATGGATTTTACGAGATGAATTAATAAAAAAGAAATTTGGCATCTTCGTTTCAACCATTAGTTGGACAACAACGACATACCCATGACAGACTCGACTCGATTTAACTTTGTAAGATTTAAATTTACGTAACGTACGATACTTTTTATATCCAGATTCCCATTTCTAGAGTTTATTATTTCCAAAATTAATCGGAATGATCATAATCGATTCGCCAAATTTCGTTATTTTATTATAACGTTCCAACGTGTCCATATTCAGGGAACGACGCTTTCTTTCACGGTTCATAAATCGAAGAGGAATTTTATGGATGCGTTACAATCTCGATTGATTACGCTTTCGACATTTATCTTAGATGGACCTCGTCGAACAAATTTCTACATATTTCCACACCTTTCTCTTTTATTCACTGGACAACATTTTTCCGCTACTAGACCTGTCTCTATATATTCTTATGAAAATATGGCGGCAACTCGATAACGAGACAATTAATCTTTCGGGAAACAAAGATTGAAAATAGGTGAATTTTTACCTTGATATTCGATGCATTCGAAATCGATCGACACGGATAACGGTGGTCACAGATGGTATAAGAAATCCGTTCCAAATAAAGTAACCGTACACAAAGGGAATAATTTATAATATAGTCCTTTCCTTTTTTTTCCTATCGTGTCCCTCATCTCGGCCAACGATCGTGTGTCGTTTTTTATATTTCGCGATTAGCCACTATTACCGGAAACGGGAACGGAAAAAGTTCAAGGCTGAAATCTTTAACGCGTTAATTTCCACGATAAAGACGCTAAAAATCGGTGAATTTTCTCGTCGTTGATGATGATGAAAAAAAAGGAACAGAAAGGAAAAGTAAGACGAAGAGAATGCATCCTCGTCGAAAGTAAAAACAGGATGTTTTCCGGTCGGCTTGAAACCGTTCCGACTTCACTTTCTAAGCCAAGTTAAATCCAGGATATATTTCTGTTGAAATTTCCGTTTCTGTTTTCTTTCTTTCTTTCTTTCTTTCTTTTTTCTTGATAAAGCCAGGCGAGACTACTAGTAAACGGTCGACTTTCGCTTTCATCCAACGACTAGCACGACCACGACTGAATAGCCACAGTCACGAAAACTCGGGATACGAGTCGTTTCATCGCGGACCATGCTCTCGGCTAAATTCCACCGGATAAACAGAATAGATCGAGATTAGTACTAGGCAAGTACGTTAATCGATATTCGTAGAAATGGAATAACGCGTTTTAAATTTCAGAAAAAAATCGAGAATCATTCGCGAAATTTCGGCACCACACTGTGTACCGGCCGAGCCTCGAAATTTTCAGTCGTCAAGGAGATGGCACGCGCCGCCACTTATCCGCGATACACACGGTAGGAAAGCCTCGTTTCGTCGTCCCGTTGAAAGATTAATTTTTGACCAACCAACGTATTCTCGTCTCGAACGGTGTACAGATGTATATATAGATGTTTCGCGCACTTCACCATACGTTACTCGCACCACTCACCACTCGTGCCACGACCGATATACGAGATCGCCGCGTGTATACGAAATACGAACGAAATACGCGGATAATATCTCGCGCAGGATTGTTGCATCGTAGAAGGAATTAGACGTGGCGTGACGCGCGTTTACCGGCGGCCCACCTTCCCCCACCTTCCCCCTTTATGCGCGCTTTTTTCATTCGACGGAGAAGAAGAAGAAGAAAAAGAAGAAGAAGAAGAAGAAAGCGCTATTTCTGCTGCGGGGAAAACCACTTCCCCGCACTAGATATGCGGGAGAATGGTAATGGAAGCTTTTAACCTAGGGAATATAATATGAGAAGTAACTAAATCTAGGGAAAATTACTAGATTCAATTCAAATTATATTTTTGTCGCGTTAAACAACAATGAAAATGAACGACGTTATAAATCGTCGTTTAAAATCGAGAAGGGAGAAAAAAGAACGCGTTGATAGTTGTAGGAAAATTTCAAGAGAACTATCGGCACGATTCTTTCCACTTCTTTTTTTTGAGTCGAGCGTCGTTTCGGTATTCTTTTCTTGGGTTGGGAATATCTCTAAAGTGGTGTTTATTCTTCGAACGTGAGAATGAAATTTTCACGAGACACGTTTCGTGAAAATAGATGAAAGAAAAAGGAAAGCATAAGAAAAAGTATCGATCGATATGTAAAACGATACGTAGAACGATTATCGAGAATGTAGAATTAACGGAGATCCCGCTCCGTTTCGATTCTTCAACGTTTCGTACGGCTTTATCTCGTTTAACGCAATTATGCTGATGTGTGCAATAATATTAGCATAATTGACCGTAACTCGACTAGTCGCATAAACGACTGTAGCTCTATCTAAATTTAACACCACCGTTAGCCGACAGGGATTGAATTAATTATGGTAAAGCTCGATAAACGACGAAACGATATAGATTTTCACCATTGATTAAGAATATCATCGTGTAACGTGATTATCATCTTTTTTTCGATCTTTTCTCGCTCTAAAAAAAGATTACGAATTGGATTAAATTTATTCTCTGTCTCTCTTGTTTTCTTTACGAAATTAAAATCTTCCGACAGAAGAATTATAAAAATTTTATATCGAATTTTAAAATCCCTTTCGAAATTCGAAACGAAAATCGTTCTAATCGATTTCAGAAAGAAAATAAAATATAATCGGAAGATAAGAAATAACGAGAGACGTCTCCCTTCGGGATTTCGATTTTTTCCCTCCCTCCCTTTATCCACGGATATAGTCTTTGAAGGGGAGAAGACGCGGAAGGAAAGAAAATGAGATATCGGAAACTTTTCGCGAAAAAGAAGGAAAAAATCTAGTTAACGAATTCCGGTCGGGTGGCAAAAGGAACGAGGGTATACGATCCACGCAAGGTAAACCGTTTCCCTCGAAAACGGTTTATATCGTATATTTAGCTTTTGTTTCCAGTCGGATAAGCTCGATATTCGGGAAGAGAAGAAAGAAAAATTTTGGTGGACACGGAGGGTATCTCGGTATCGATCGGGCCAAGCCGGAAAATGGCGCGATGTAGAGGCGATGTTCCAGAAACGATTGCACGGCTATTAATAATTGAAGAGGAAGGAGGAAGGAAGGAAGGAAGCAAGAAGGATGAAGGAATTTGCAAACGCGTTTCCATGACACGGATTGCCGCTCGTTCGAACGGTCGATAATATCGATCGAGGTAAAGGGAAATAAGCGGCCGCTAATGCTGCCGCACTGCTGCCTACGACACGCGCGCTTACATGTGTATCGAGAGTGCACGGCTTCGATGCCAAACCCCTCCCCTCTCGCCGATTACGCGTCGGACAACGCGTGTCCCACGCGACGACAACTAGGCCGATTGTCTCTACGCCGGATTACCATCCGAGCAAACGTTGAAACGAGGTTATGTACGATTTCTCCCTTCCCGTCTTCCAATTTTCCTACCTTCCCCGATGCATCGCATCGCAAACTCGAGACGAAGAAATATCGTTTGTATACATCGTCGAATATCGAGATTTATCGATCAAATTAACGCGATAGATTTGAAAAAGAACGTTCGTCTCTCGAAAGCCACTTACGCGCGTACAGCCGAGAAGATTCCCCTTTGAATAGAGCGCAAGGTCTCACGTGCTCGACCTATCGTACGTACGCTACGGATTATATTTATATCCGCGTAATAGGGACGGAATAGTGAGTTTCTTCGATATATCGATTTCGAATTTCGTTTCATGATGAAGAGAGAGATAGAGAGAGAGAGAGAGAGAGAGAGAGAGAAGAAATTTGTATCGGATGCGGTTGACCGAAATCGAAACGGAGAAGCGTAAACGAAATATAGGCCCGTTATACGACGCACGACTCGTGTGCGTCGCGAACGTTCATTCGCCAATTATCCGTGAAAAAAGTGAATCGAATATTCGTTCGTTTAAAAAGTAAATGAAAGCGATAACTAAAAACAAAGAAAAAATATTTTTTCGATAATCCGATAAAATCTTCTTTCTTTAGGAATCTTTTTTTGTTTCTTTTTTTTTTTTTTTTTTTTTTNTTTTTTTTTTTTTTTATAATAATTTTTTGTCGCATCAAAATAACGCGGAGAGTATTTTCGAGTTAATTTAAATATCGACGCGAATCGAACCGATGTATCGAACAAATTAATTTACTTTGTCCGCATGAACTATTCAAATTACCATCGTCACGCTTTCCTACTAATCGTTATACAAGTTTAATAACTGCATCAACTAAAAGCGGACATTTTTTATTTTTCTTTTTTTTTTTTTAATAAATAAACTATTCGTTAAACTATTCCAATTTTATTTTGCAAAATAATCGTTTTTTTTTCTTTTTCTTTTTTTTTTCTTAATTTTTTTTTTAATAAAAAGAACGCGCAATCATAAACGTATCATAATGTATATCTTTTGACAAGATGACGTATAAATCGAGATATACAACGTATTATGTATATTCCTTGAAATAAATATACGAATAGATAAATAAACTTTTATCGAAAAACTTTCTACTTTCGCGTTACAGTTTTCATTATCAATCCGACGAAAATAACTTTATCATTATTATGGAAACGATGGAAAGTTCCTCTAAGATATAGTAGAATAATTCGTAATGGAAAAAGAACGCGAAATATAATTTTTTTATTATACGTCCGTTCGATCTTCGTTACGAAACATTTTTCATTAAAAGAAGAAAGGAGGGAAGAATTTCTTTACAATTATCGCAAGAAAACTTACCATGGATGTAACGAAGATATATACCTCTTCTCGTCAAATATTTGTGGTAAAAAAATCCAAGGAACGAGGGAAGTAAAAGTTTCGATTACTCGACGAGATTTTTTCCGACGCGGTTGCGTTGCGTCGCGTTGCGCTCCACAATTCCCCTATTCGCCGTAAGAAACCGTATCTCGTCGACGAGGAATCCGTTCGAACGATCGAATTTTAGGGGTCGAAGAAGGGGCTGGAATAATAGGAAATTTCGATGAACACCTCTTTGTCGCGATAATTGGGACGAAATTCGCGACGAGGGAGCAGCAACAATTGGGAATGGTAGAATCTAACGATCCAAGTTACGATAAAGTTACTGCGAACAGTTGGCGCGGCAAACGAACATAGAACGTCCGTTTCCCCAATTTTCCTTTCGAATCCCCCGCGAATTCGCACGGGAAAATATATATATATATATATATATATTCGAGGATACATGCGAAGCGAAACTCGGATGAAAAGATCGAACCGCCTTATTTCCTCTTCGATCCATCCATCCATTCGTTTCGTACGTACGTACGAAGAAGATCTCGCCCCTTCTCGGACAAAAAAGAAATCCCAACGGGAGGAGGGAGAGGATAACCTTTTTTTCGAGGAAGAAGGAACGATCTATCGGTTGTAGACGGGAACGAGTGGGCATGGATATCGTTCGACGATCCGATAAAACGCATTGCACCAACGATCCCCGTGACGGATTCGGGGAGAGCGATGCGGTGCGTGGACGCGATCAACTCGGCTCGCGAGCATCTCTCATTTTTCACGAAGGAAACGGGTCGATTCGCGTCGGCGACAACGGCGTGTGGAACGATAAAATAGCCGCGAATCGGGGAGAGAGGAGGGGGAGGGGAGGGGAGGGGGGAGGAGGAGGACGAAAAACGGACGAAACGTTGACGGATCGAGAGGAGAAAGCGGACGGTTGGGGCGAACGATTGAGAGAGAGAGAGAGAGAGAAACGGAAGGAGAGAAATGGAAGGATCGGAGATGCGGTGGCGAGAGAACGAGGGGACGAAATTCGAGGGGGGATCGTGAAAGATTGGAGTTTTTTTTTTGCAGGGAAGATAGAAAAGTGTACGGTGAAAATTCTCGGACGGAATGCAAAGGTACGCGCGCGCGTAACGCCTGCTACGAGGGAAGCGGTACCACTGAACGACGAGGGGTTGCCGCTTCGTAGGCGCTTTCCACTCGCTAGGGGCTAGCCAGGGTTCGTAGGGTGGTGGTGGAACCAAGTGTCGAGAAATCACACCGCGCGGAGCCACTTGTCGACCTCCGACGTTTCCCAAATTTTTCTTCCCTCCTTCCCCCCTCCCTTCGAGTATTCCAAAGAATATTCTCCCGTCTAAAAATTCCTATTCCGCAAAATCGAATTGTCCAATTGCCGTCCCTTTGTTCTAAAGCCCGAACAAAGGAATCGAACGAACGGATTTAGGGCATCAATCGTGTACAATTCGATGTACATTATTGTTCTTTGTTCTCGCGAAATCGTGCGCGAAGTAATTTTGTTTTAAATGGAAGAATAGAAAATTTTGAACCGTATTCGAATCTTTTTTTTTTTTTTTGGAAAAATCTTTCAAAAATCGTGCGTCGATCATCGTTCCCGATATTAAATATTCTATTCTCCCTTACGTTTTGACAAATGGATCGAGTAATGGACGAAGAACGAAAAACGTTCGATTAATCGATCGAAAAAATTAGCATCGATTTATTTAGAATACAAATAATTATAATCTCGAGTCTCGTTAATACGAATTACAGAGATGCGTAAAGACGAATCGTACTCATGAGATTTTGTCTAAACGAATACCGAGCATAAAGTCCCTTTGGCGCAGAGGATAGCGCGTTGGACTTCTAATCCAAAGGTCGCGGGTTCGATCCCCGCAAGGGATGATGTGTTTTGCATTCAGCGATGTCTGTCTTTCTCGACCGTGCGGAACCGTTATTATTTTTGAAAAAAATAATTACGCGTAATATTATCGAGAAAACGAGAAAAATATCTACTTTTCCTTTCTTTTACCGTTTCTTTTATCGTCGAGTAATATTACCAATTCGAAAATATTAATCGATAATATCCATTCTGTATATTTCGACGTTCAATTTTTTTTCTTTCTTCCTTTTTCTTCCTTTTCACGAAAAATTCGTTTTATAGGAGAATCTTTGATCTCGATCGAATCGAATTTTTAAATAAACAAATATTACGCTCGTACGATATATATTTCGATTCGTATTTCCTTCGAATAATTACATTAGCGAGAAAATTTGTTGAATCTATAGCTATCTCGTATCTCGAACGAGAAAAAAAGGAATTTAGGACACAGAATTTTCTATGTTCTCGTATTCTTTGTATATCGGCATTGAGCAGGGAATCGAAAGGGAAAATGTATGGATGGAAGAACTGGAGTAGAGGTTTTCAGGTCAGGTTAAGAAGCACTCGGTATTGGACCGAAATACGTAAACGTGTACAAGAAAGGAGTCGGATTTTATTCTCTCGAATAGCTCTAGTTGATCGATCGTTGTTAAATTAAAACTCGAACCTTTTGTTATCATTTATTGTCGTGATATCTCGAACCTTGTATCTGTTCGAACAATTAAAATAATAATACAAGCGAATTTTTATTTTCGTAATATCTCCAGAATAGAGAGAATTTTTTTCGAAAACTCGATTTCGAGCAACCATCAATTATATTCGTCTCTCCTCGTCGGTTTACAGGTTTCCGTGGCACACCTGTTCCTTCCAAACGTCTTGAAATTCGCCTACTCCACAATCCCTCAAATTATATATATATCCACGAAAGGAAAAATCAAGCTCGAAAATATTCTTGCAAAAACGATATAAATAAATCGTATACATAAATAAATATAGCACCAAAAAGAAAAGAAAAAAAAAAAATATGATAAAACAATATACTATATATATCGAGCAACAACGTTACGTTACGAAATAATTGAGACGTAATTCGAGCATGGGTGGTGCGAGAATTTGCACGCGTGGTGAAAGCGTGGAATCGTTTCCTCGTCGGAGGGAAAGAAAAAGAAAAAGAAAAAAAAAAGAGAGAAAAAGAGGACGCGACGTTACATTCGTGCGTACGTTTTATTTGGGAAAGGTGGCGTGGATGATGGTACGCGGCGGTTGGAAGGCAGGGTCGTAGGAAGTTACCTGGTGGGTTCAGCCGCGTCGAGCACGAGCCTATCGGAGGGATGGGTTTAAAGAGGCCGCGCAGCCGAGCCTCGTAGCTTCGGCCGGCGTGTGTGCCTCGACGCGGAAAGCCGGTTAGTCGGTCTCGATCCTGCGTGTCGTTCGTGCGTTTGTCCCGAACGTTTGCTTTCTGGCCTTCCCTTCCTTCCCTCCCATCCTTACTCCCCTCCTAATTTCGTTTCGCGATCCAGAAAAAAAATTCCATCTTCTCGTCGCTTTTTCAATTTGCAACACCTATCTCCTCCATCCTCGTGTGAAACTTTCCTCCACGAAAATTTTCAAGTGCGCGCACGTGGATAGGATTTGTAACTGTATATACCTTCGAGTCTGCGCGTCAAAGGGTATGTTTTTCAATGCGAATTCATAGAACTGCGCGCGCACCATGTATATATTTCGCTTCCAATCACAATTCGTGTAAAAGCGATAAACGTCGCGTTACGCGCGATGCGAGTTTTTTCTTTGCTTTGCTAAAGAGTGTGTGTGTGTGTATATGCGCAAGGTTAACGGAAATAGATCGGGGAAAAATAAGGTGTACGAGTTTACATGTAGAAAGTGTAACGTAACTCTGGATCGTGTTATCCTTCGCGTTTTCAACTACGCCATGGTTACGTATACGCGCGTAAGAGACGTCGATAATGAGAATATTGAAAGGATAACGAGCGTAACGAAGGAAGGAAGGAAATTGGAGAGAATTTCGTTTAATGTGCAGTCAAAATCGATCGTATTTTTTCTTTCCCAAAATCTCTCTAAAACTCGTATTCCATCTATCCGCGATTCTTTTCTAAACGAAAATACATTTTCTAATTCATTTTCTTAGAAAATTCTTAAAATTTAATTTTTTAATTTTTCTTTAAAATTTAATCTTTTTTTAATTTTCTTAAAATTCATTTTCTTTTACTAAACAAAATACAAATTCTTGTACGAAACACGTAAGGTTTTTCGATTGCGCTTGATTCATATTACATTCCGTATCGACGAATCTCGATTAATCTTCGTGATATTTTTCCCATGATGTGGCAACGCAGCGCGGTTTCTGGAATTTTGATACTTCGCGCAAGAATAGGATTTCGATAACGAATGTGTAATAAGGATGGAACAAGGGAGGGATGAAGAGAGAGAGAGAGAGAGAGAGAGAGAGAGNAGAGAGAGAGAGAGAGAGAGAGAGAGAGAGAGAGAGAGAGAGAGAGAGAGAGAATAGAATGGATTTACACGGGAGTCGCGCGAATAAATTTGAACTGACCCAAATTATCCGTGCGAAGATTCCCAAAGCGTAATCAAGTCCCGTAAGGAAAAGCGAATGAAATATACCGTTAATTCGAGAGATTTTAATTTTAAAATCCCGCGTAATTTTAAAATTTCGCTCGCTCACAATGCAAATGTCCGCTTTCTCGCATAGCGAATCAGGTATTTTTTGTTACAGAATTCACTAGCCGTTGCGACATTATCCGTAACATCATAAATCGAATCGATCGCCTCGACACGAAACAACGGAAGGAAACGTGCGATTGAAAGTATATAAACGACAAACTCCAATCTCATCCCGCGTTTGACACGTCACATCGTTTTTCTCCGAGAAATAATTTAACAGCGCACCGTGGTTCGCGAAAAAACGTACGTCTTTATTTATATATATATATATATACAAATTGAAAGAGGCTGCCAACTCGTGGAGAAAAGATCGTGGGGAATTGGAGGATTATTATCGAGATTAGGGATGGAGAGAGGGGGGTGGACGGACGCGGACGAGGCAAGGAGGTGGGTGGCGAAATTGAGACGGAGCGGTCGAAATCGCGAGTCGTACGACGAGGTGGTGGAGTTGGAGGCGAAATTGCGCGCCGCGTACGTAGCGAAGGAGTTGGAGGTGCAAATTTTGGAAAGGGAGGCGGAGCGGTACGCGGCCGAGATGAAGGAGCGACGGGCCGCGGAATCGATGCGATCGGAGGGGAGAGCGATGGCGAAGGAGGAGGCTCGCGAAAGGTGGAAAAATGTGGAAGATCGGGAACGTTATAGGAAAGAGCTGATGGATCAGATGGAAGGGAAGAAGGAGGAGAGGAGGTTGAGGATGGAGGAGGAGAGGTGGGAGAGGGAGGTTTTGAGAGAGGTGGACAGAGCGAGGGAGGAGCGCGAAAGATCGGAAAGGTCGGGGAGGAGGAAGGAGATGGGCGAGATCGCGAGCCGAGAGCGTTTCGTTGTTTCGGAGATGAGGCGGCTTCGGGGGGAGGAGGAGAGGGAGGCCGAGGCGGCGAGACGTCGCGAGGAAGAGGAGTACTGGTGGGAAGTGGGCGAGAGGAGGAGGAGAGCGGAGGAATCGCGGATAGCGGAGCTACGCGAGAGAGAATCGATGAGGAGAAAAATCGCGGACGCGTTGATCGATGCGGAGGATAGGAAGCGGGAGAGGGAGGCGTTGCTGGCCGAACTGATAACCGAAGACGTCAAGTTGGAGTTGTCGATGAAGGAGGAGGAAGAGGAGACGGAGAGGGAAAGGAGGAAGGAGGAGTTGGCGGCCGATTTGAAGGAGCAAATAGTTTTCACGGAGCGATGCAAGCTAAGATTCGTGGAGCGAGACAGGGAGTTCGCGGAAGAAGTCATGAGAAGAATAAAGGAGGACGAGAAGATTGGGAGATTGAGCGCGGAGGCTAGGCGAAGGGCGCAACTGCGATATCGAGACGAGTTGAATCGATTGATCGAGATTCGGCGTAAAATTCGAGAGGAGGAGATTTGGAGGAAGAAGCGAGCCCTGGAGGAGGAGAAGGAGCGTGAAAAAATGAGATCGGATCGCGATAAGGAGGAGAGGAAACGATTGTTGGAGAAACACGCGCCGAACGTCGCTAATTTTATCGATAAAATCCCTCTTTCCGAAGAGGAACGAGAGACGATCGAACGAATGCAAACAAACGCAGACCCGTGTCAATAAATACGTAATAAACGTAAATATTTTCGAAATTTTTTGCAATTTATTCCCGTACGACGTACTATTGTATCTTGTATATATACTTAAATACGCGAATATATCGTCTGATAAATAATAATTCTCGTACAATATCTCGAAACTACGAACGCGTGCCTATTACATCTCCTTCGAAAAAAACATCGCGATTATTCGATTACGATATCGATGAAACGCGAAATTTTCTTTAAAATTTTCTCTCGATTCGCTCATCTGGAAAAGAAAAAAACATAAACAATGTATCTTTCGTTCGCGACGAACGTTTACATATACGTCTTTCCTTCTTCGAAAGAATTCCGATTCGATCGATAAAACTCTCTTAACGAGAGTTGCAACGACTCGAATAACGATAGAAGTTGAAACGCGTTCTCCATCTTTCGATTAATTCCCTTCGAAACACGGATGTAAAACTCGTCAAACTATCCAGAGAGGAAGCCGGTTTAATACATAGTTTTATAAATTCTATCGATCGTCGTATTTTCTTCTTCGAAACTCGATTTCGCTTTCCGATCGATTTTATCAATCTTGTCGATCGGTATTATCGCGTACGTTTTCTTCAAACTCTTGCTCGAAGTCTAATTTTCACAGTACGATTGAGAGAAAAGGATCGCAACTCGTCCTACCTCTCTCGTATTATCCGCTCGATCGGTATACGATAAATATAATATATATATATTACAGCATTCATCCATCGTAACGCGTTTCGACGTTATCGCGTTTCATCTACGAAATGAAATACCGAGAACTGCTACTGTGTAACCTATGCACAGTTATTCACGTTATACACGGTACGAAACAACGTACGTTTCAATACCGTAAGTCGCTGTTACACTCGCGTGTTTTTTCGACTTTTTTTTCTCGTCTCTTTATACGGCCATTTTAACGCGTTATCTCACGTTTGAGAATCGTCCCATTATTCCTCTCTAAATGTACAACGCAAAGCGAAAGCACTCGGGATTACAAAGGACGAAATAGGGTAGAATAACGATGCACACCTGACAACCATCTGTGCTCGTCATCCTCTGGGGTATATACGCTATACCGTATCAACCCATGCGTATCGTTCAAATTCAACCGACACGACGGTTGAAACTATTAAACGCGCGCTCTTTGGTTTCAAACTTCTATATATACGTACGTACGTGCATACATATATACATCCTTCCGAATGAAAATGAAATGAATGAAAATAGTGAGTTGCTCATCGCGCGTGAACGAGGTATCGAGGTAAACGTTCGAGATTGATCTGAAAAATTATATATACGTATGCTATTAACTGCATCGTATATTTCGATTTCTTCCATCTCATTCGCTCCTCCGAATTCGTCTAGACGTCGTCGAATGCGTTTATATACACTTACGTACGCGCTATCGCAGTGGGCGAAGGAATGAACTTTCTCGCGCATAATATATGCGGAGATCGAGCAGCCATTACGGAACGTTACTTAACACATTTACGAATATTACTCGCGACGCGTTTCTTCGATCGATCGTGACGCGTGGGTTCATCGAAACCGGCCTGGCGCCTCTCCAACTCCCTCCTCCATTCATATCCATATCGTGTAACTTGCAATTTTTTTTTTTTTATTAACGAGCGATAATAATAAAAAGAGAAAAAAAACAATTCCACTTTCGTAATGTAATTATTATCCACGCTTTCCGCTATTTATATCGCGACGAGTGGATAACGCACGATGAATAATTTACTCGTTACGCGTAATATTAACACTTTTTTTTTTCTTTTTTTTTTTTTTTTCTTATAACGGTACAATCAACCGCGGTGATACGCGCGCGATTTTTGAAATAAACGTCGACGGGTTATCGAGGTTCCGTGGTGTAGTGGTTATCACGTCTGCTTTACACGCAGAAGATCACCGGTTCGATTCCGGTCGGAACCATTTAATTTTTACTTATTTTATGAAACTCGTGTACGTGCAAATATTTTTCGTGCAAAGTTAAAAAGTTTAAAAGAGAGAGAGAGAGAGAGAGAGTGAGAAAATAAGAAAAGCAACAAGAGATGATGTTGTTTCCTCTTTTGTTTCAGATGTCAACGCAACGAGGAAATTAACGTAGGTTGAAATGTTGGTGTTGACATCGCTATGAACGAGAGCCGGTGCTACGTCGATTCGGCCGTGCTCGCTGAACATCAACCGTTCAACCGGAATGGGAAGGCACTCAGGTGCGATTATCCTAAACGCGCCCTATACCTATATCCTACTTACATTATACGCGTTTAATCGTTCAACGCGACAACGATTGATGGAGATCGATCTTTTAAACGATTTCTCCCATATTCGGATCCAAAATATACAACGAGAACGAACGATTTTTTTCGTTTCGAAATAAACAACGAAACGAGAACAACGAGGTGAGAAAAAGAGGCAGGTGTAGCGGAACGAGCAACTCGGGACAAAATTGCTGGACTCGTAACCGTTTCGACGACGCGAGACCAAGCGTTATCGTGACGCAAATCACCCCCTCTTTGCTCTCTCCTTCCTGTGCACGCTACATCGTCGTTCGCGCTAAAAATTTCCCTCCGTAAACCGTTTCCTAAAATTACGAGAATATAAACACTCTCTTCCTTATATAAAAAAAAAAAGGAAAAATCTCGAGAGATTAATCGGAGTTTTTCGTTTCGTTTCAAGGGGATCGAAGAAGAGCGTATTGTTCTACACGACCGATTGCGGGGACGGGAAAGAAGATCTCGGGCACAAGCTTCAGCAAAGATCCGTCTCTCTGGTAAGTCGAATGAAAAGGATCACGCACGACACATGCGCGAGCGCACCCTCGATCGACGAACTACGAAATTCGAGAAACGGGAGGGGAGGGGAGGGGGGACCGAACGACTAAGCGAGAAGAATTCGATGTAGCGAGGCGTGTAGCGGCGAGAATCGGCGAGCAAACCGTGAAATAGTAATTCTCGCGAGTCCTACGATCGACCCTTTCGAGTCATTTCTTGGCTTGGGTCGTTACACGCGCGTGCGCGCATGCGCGCGCACACACTCGCGACACCTATCGCGTTCGCCTGGGGGCCCTCGGCCGACTAGAAAACCGTCAGACACGCGTCTCTTTCTAAATTTGTATATATTTAAAATCGCTTCGTTCCTCTTCTCGGCATCGAACACGCATTAACCACGCTTTCGTAACTTTCTATCGTGTTCGACGTTACTTCCCGACTCGAGAGAATCGTTGACTTACCCGTCATTCGTAATATGATCTATATCGACGTGTAATACATCTCGGGGAAAAGTTTTTCCGGCCATCTTCCCGTCGGAGATCGCTCAAACTCAAACTTTTACTACTACGTAAGAGTAGTACGTAAGTGGAGGGGGGAAAGAAAAGAACGCGTTCGATCGAAAAGAAGATCGTAATCGTATTATAATTGACGAAGGAGGGAAAACGATCGAAGTTGAATCGAAGAATATACATCGTTCATCGACGAGAGATAATTATTCGTTGTCCGCGTAGCGGTGAGAACTCGTCATCTCGTAAAAAAATGTTGCGAGTATACCACGGGTATTATTTTACCTCGAAGACTCACGAAGGACTCACGAATGCCGATCGTAACAGGAAAACCACGATCCCCTATATATGTATACGCGATACGAAATACCTGACGTCGAATCGACGATTTCTTTCGCGAAAAATAATAACGAATTTTACTTGATTTCCTAGACTGCTCTACACACTGGAAATGGGACGCAACAGCAATTTCTAGAACCAAGAATGGCGCAACTGGAGACGTTGGAGGCGAAGGTAAATCCGATTAACAAAAATTACGGATTAATCGTAAAACGCGTTAATTTTCTAAGCAAGATCTCTTTAAAACGGAATTTTATTCGTTTATTCGTTCGGTTTAGAACGATTCTCGATTCTACGGCCGCGATTATCATTCTCTCTCGGAAAAGTTTTGTTTCGAAGGGTTCGTATAAAAAGATACGGTGTAGTTTTAACCGTAGCATCCCGACACGACGGAAGAAAGTCGATGTTTCGCGGTTATTGGCGGGTTTGCAATAGCCCCCCAGCTTTTTAAGCCTGTCCAACCAGTGATTTATATGCAGATGCATGAACCAAACTGTGTTTCGTTCAGGGGCCCTTCACTCGCCAGTTTCGGCCCCGGAGAGGCCGTGCGCGCGTGCGCCTCCCATTAAAACTGCCCCAAGTCCACACATAGACGCACAGACACACACGGACTCGCAGTGGCGCAGCATTCTCCAAAATCACTTTTTTCTTCGTATCGTCCACCCGGTCCTGGCGATCATAGATTCGAATCGAAAAATAACGTAAGAGTAAATAATAAAATAAAGGAGCGTTTCAATCGCTACTTTTCTCTTTCTTCATCGATTCGAATGCCTCGCTTACAGAATGAAAAGAAAAGAAAAGAAAAGAAATGGTTGGCGTCCGTACATCGCGTACCTTTTCATCGTCCCTCTGCTCTCGCCTTTACAACAGGTATATTTTCTTAATCCCGTTCTCGAGGCGCGATTAATGCGCGTTGTCGGATTCATCGACTTCCTCGACCATTCGGATGTTTACGCCCGAGCGGACCAGCGGCCGAGTCCTGTTTTGCCATCGACTCGAAGGGAAAAGCAAAACTAAAGAAAGAAAGAAAGGAAAAAAGAAAAAGGAGCACGCTACACCGCACGCTCCAGCCTCGAATAACGAATCTATCTCCCTCTGTCTCGACGCACTTTGCCTTCGAAACGAGGAGAAGAAAATAATACAACTCGAGACAGAATTTTTACAAACGCGCCGGTTAAAAATCGTTGACACCCAAAGCTTTCGCTTTACCCTCTTAACCGCGTCGAGAGAAAATCGCTAGAAAATGTTGAAAAGGTAGACTATGGTACGCCCTTGGCTCGAAACGCTCGCAGACAGATCTGGTCAGCGAGATTGCGGATCCAGGAGTCAGTGCCCTTTACGCCGTCCGAACGCCGATACTCCAAGGAGATTTCGTCTTCTTAACATTGTCCTCTCGCGAATTTCTCGTTTTTCAAGAACCTTCCAGGAAAATAATAATCTCGCTCCTCTTCGATGATATCCGGTAGATAAGAAAGTGAACTATCAAACGTACGGGCAAAAGAATTGATCAAACGGCAACAGTAAAAACGAGCATAATAAATTAAAATACGAAACTCCATTTCGTTCTGTTCGGTATGGCTATCGCGGAAGAGGAGGATGGCAGGATCTCCGTGCGATTTCGATAAAAAATTGACGGAACGTCGGAGACAGGGCTCCCTCTTTCATTCGGAGGAGGGGAGAGGATTGTTAGGATTCGCAGCGTTCCCTTCCTATCTCACCCCCTCTTGCACGCGTCGAGTTCCATTTTTTTTTTCCTTCCCCGAGATAAAAATAACCCCTTCTTTCGTCAATATTATCCTTCCATTATCGTTACGCGGATAACGTTCTAATTATTTTCACGCTCCTCTTTTACGTATTCTTATATTACGTGTATATATATATACAGGATAATTCAGATAAAAAGAATAAGAATACGGTTCGTCGATACACATAAAATTTTATCTTAAACGTATTGGCTTACGTTTGACAGCGTGCCGTTGTCGGAAAGTGACGCGTTTATGGAAAAAGAGGTATTTTACGGTAGTTGTACCGAAAGCCTTGAACTCGGATTGCCTTTTGTTTTCTATTACCGTATATACGTACGCGTACGCGCAATAATAAAACCCGTGCGCGAGTACTTTCCGCGATTTTGCTCGAACGCGAGAAATTTCATCGAACGACGACTTTAATAATCAAATTTTATTATGTTAAATAATTATTCGTACCGTTTTGCAAAACGCGCGCCCGTAATTGCCGTATACACAAATTTCCCCTTTATTATTTTTCATCGTACGCCCGCGCTGCTTCCTTTTCCCCGAATTGAAATAATTTTTAATTCTCGAACGTTCTTCCGGAGAGACAATGAAACGATCGAGAGAAGATGGTTGTTAAAATTAATAATCCGCTCTTTTCGTTATTACTCCTCGTATCTTTTGTCAATACGAAAGACATATTTATACGGGTATCTTTTAGAGAGAGAGAGAGAGAGAGAGAGAGTTTTCAATTCGTTTCGTTCGAAGCTTGGATCGGAACGAAATAATAGGATCCTACTTTTATCCTCGTAACCGTGAGTCTCGATGGAAGATAATCGGTTTTGGCGCGAAGAGAGAAGTTGTGTTGGAAGACGGCGCAAACGGACGAGGACACGAATCCGTTTCCTTCAGCAGGATTCCAAACCTTTCTCTCGAACACTTTTCCATTTCAAGGAGGTATTTTAAATTTAATTAACACGGGATAGTTGCGAGACGGATGGAAAGAAAGGATTCGGTTTGGAATGTTTGGGAGGATATTTCGCGGTGGTGCGGCGGTCGCGTGGGACACAGCGGGCGCGCAAGGTCTCCCGTATCGCATCCTTCTTCCCGCCGCGCAGTCAAGGCCGACATTGACCTTCTCCGTGTCGTGTGTGCACGACCAGGGGGACCAAGCGCTGCTTTCTCAAGGACCATCGAGTAGTCCCCCGAGTCGTGTGCAGTACCGATGCGCCAGTCCATTAAGATCCACGCATTCCGTTCCATGCGTTTCACCGTCCCGCTCCGACTCGTCCCGTCGAGCCGCGTATCCGCGTATCCGTGATTCCTCGAATTTTTCCCCCCTTCTTTTTTTCTTCTACTGCTCCAGATGGCCAGTATAGAAGTGTCGTTGTCGACCACGACGCCGAGAAGAAAGAAAGGTGGAAGTATTTCCGGTGGGTTAACGTCCCCTGCCGGCCCCCATCGAAACTCCAGGGACCATTACAAGGAGTTGGACGCCCTTAGGGTCGCGCTGCGCGACAAGGAGAATATCATTCAAACGTGAGAGGATCGCTCTCTTCGCGAAAGAGAGAATACAAGGGATAAATAAACGGTGTTGAATAAACGTTTTTCAGGTTGAAAGGGCAACTGTGCAACACGCTGACCAACAGATTGGCACTGCGCAACGGTGGCCCGCCTTTGACCGAAGCGGACCGAAAGGCGACCGAAGAACGGCTTCAAAGGTTGCGTCGGGACGCGGATAACAAACGATTAGCGATCAAGAATTTAAAATTGGCCTTGGAACGGCTGGATATCACCGAGTAAGTGATGAACCGCGTATCGAAAAACAAGCTGCGTACGATTTTCAAATTTCTCTTCGTCGTTTTTTCTTCTCCTTCTTCTTCTTCTTCTTCTTCTTCTTCTTCTTCTTCTTCTTCTTCTTCTTTTTCTTCTTCCTCGTTTGCCGCAGCAATATCGACGTTCGGATTCAACAAGCCGAGTTGGAGTACAGACTTGGACGCGAGGAACTCGAGCTTTTGACGCTTCGAGAGGAGAGCAGAGCCCTTCAGGCCGCCTTGGAATTGGCGGAGACCCAGGAAAAGCAAAAAAACGATACGATATTTAGGTATATATATACATATATATACACGTATATACACACGTTTGAAAACGAATCGGGACGAATTATCCCCCGCGATGTATACACGCGAGACGTTTCTTGTGATCGCAGTTGCATCTCTGGCTCCGCTCAAGCGACGATCCACGCGGTGGAAGTTAGCGCAGATCCGAAAAGTCCCCGTTTCGGAGCCGGGCCGAGAGAGGACACGCCCGGCTTGTACGTCGATTGGGCGGTCGAGGATTCCGGATTGTGCAAGGGGGATAGGTATACGCCACCTATTTCCTTCTCCTCCTCCTCGAATAAAGAAACCACAAAAAGAAAAAAGATTAATCCTTTGCTCTCCGCCACCATTTGGATTGATACCAATATTATTATAATATATTATATATATTATACACAATCGTATTATAACATATATACATTATAATAATATTAATCCTTTGCTCTCGGTCATCACTCGAGTTAATGCCGTGACTCCAGTGGTCACTCTCTGACACCATTTGGATTGATGCGGCAAATATTATTATATTATAGTAATTATATATAGTATATATATAATATATATATTATATATATTATAGTATATTATATATAGTATTGTTATAATATATATATCTTTGGATTGATGCAGCAAATATTATTATATTATAGTAATTATATATAGTATATATATAATATATATATTATATATATTATAGTATATTATATATAGTATTGTTATAATATATATATCTTTGGATTGATGCAGCAAATATTATTATATTATAGTAATTATATATAGTATATATATAATATATATTATATATATTTTAGTATATTATATATAGTATTATTATAATATATATATCTTTGGATTGATGCAGCAAATATTATATTATAGTAATTATATATTATAGTATATTATATATAGTATTATTATAATATATATATCTTTGGATTGATGCAGCAAATATTATTATATTATAGTAATTATATATTATAATATATTATATATAGTATTATTATAATATATATATTATAATAATATTAACCCTTTGCTCTCCAACGATGACTCTCCGGCATCATTTGGATTTTGATGCGGCAAATATTATTATAATATATTATAGTAATTATATATTATAGTATATTATATTTATTATATATATAATATTATTAGTATTATTATAATATATATATTATTTGTTCTCCAACGGTGCTCTCCAGCTTCAATATCGCTTCATAAATAGGTTCCTAAGCTCTTTACGTGTAATCTTATCTTATGAGTAATTATCTTATGGTAATCTTATGAGACCACCGAACGCACCGAATGCGCGTCTAAATCTGGAGTTGCTGGTTCGACCGAGCGAAACAGGCGTGGAATGCGAAGAGTTAAAAACGTTTCTGGTCTCCTTGCTTTTCCACAACGGTATCATCATCTCCCTAAGCTCAGATTCTTTGCTTATAATAAAACCACCGCCAATTAAGCAAAGTCAGATCACAAGCGCAGGCGGAAAAAAAAAAAAGAGGATCGTGTTTTTCCTGTCGGGGAGAGGAGAGGAGAAGACGGTGATTTCACAACGGATGGGCAAAACTAGAGGAGAAGGGGAAAATTTGTTTGGGAACAAAGGTGGGAAGGAGGAGAGTAAGCGAATAGGGAAATAGAAATGGGAAGGACGAAGAGGAAGAAACGCAGCCGGTCGCAACGTAAGCCGGGCTAGCTATCGGCGCTATAACAATGGAGCAATCTTGGCATTTGGTTCCCAACGGGGTCACCGTAGCGTGAACGAGGGCCGGAAGTCCGCCGAGTACCCTCGCTAATTGCACCTACGACTTCGCATGACCCCCACGTTTCCTCCTTCCTCCCCACCTCCTCCCGCCACCATTTCTTATTTCTTATTTCTATCTTCTTAACTGTGCGTAACTTGAAAATGTAACGTAGCGAGCTTGCTCCTTCTCTTTTTTCTTTTAATCGAAGTGATTTTTCTTTTATCCGATAACGAATAACAATTAAAAAGAGTCTTATCGTGCGAAACGATTGTTTGTTTAGAATCTTGGAAGTGAACGGAAAACTCGTGGTGGGAGCGGGGAGGAGCGATTTGGCAAGGCTGTTGGCCGTGGCGCCCGACGCCGCGCAAATCGTCGTACTTCGAAAGGGCGAATCCCTCGCGGCGCTCCGCACTCTTAGATCCGATAATCTTAGATTGACCCATAGGATCGGTTATCTGGAGGAGCAGGTCAGGGATCTTCTCGCACCGAGCAGATCCGAGGTCCCCGCGGATCCTCCACCGACCCGTCAAGAACAAGTCCAGGTAACGTCCTTTTCCTTTTTTTAAATAATAATATAAATATAACTCTTGTTATAAGAGTCTCTCTCTTTCCCGTTTTTCACGTTCATTCTTGTTTAGGTTTTTCAAAAAGGGCCGCAGGTAACTGCGCTAGTCGCAAATCTACCCGGTCTCAATATAAGAAATTCGATGGAGTTGCGGCAGAGTTTACCGACGGTAAGAAATAGGCATAGCGATCATTCGAAACGTTCGATAGACGTGAAAATTTCGAACGAGCTTGATTCCTCGTTGGTTAGCGTTTCCAACGGTCATCACAAATCGCGAACTAAACAAAAACATCAAGGATCCTCGGTAACTGGATCAACCGCGAGTTTAGATTGCAAGGAGGCGCACGTTTCGTCGCAGCAACGTAGGAGACCACCGCGAGTCGAATCGGCCATGGAACACTTGTCTAACAATCGAAAAAATTCGTCTCGAGTACAACCGTTGGACTTTGATTCCGAACCAACCTATTATCGACTGCAGGTAATTTTCCATACGTAATTTTCGATCCATTCTCTCTTTTATCGTATCGTTGCTGGATTTAAGGGAGATAAAAACCCCCTCCTTTTCTTTTTTTAACATCTCCTTTCGTTCGTTTCAGGATTCTCAATCGCGAACGTCGGAGAATTCCGACGTATCAGTGGCGTATAGTTCCCAAGAATCGAAATCTCGTCCGGCACCGCCGAAAAAACCGCTTCGATTATCCTTGCATCGTGCGGCTAGTCTTCAATCCGTGGAAAGCGCGCCACCAGCTACGCTTCACGACGTGGTGAAAAAACCGATAAAGAGAAATCACAAAAGTGACCCATCACCGTTGGAAAAAAGTGTTCGAGCGGAATCGAACGGAGAAGCGAATAATCAAACGGAAGAATCGTACACTAACGCGTCTCAACCCCCACCAAGGACACCTTCCAGAGCGGAATCTTGTCAGAGCGCGTTACGATGGCCTTCTCCTAAACCGAGACCTCATTTAACATCTGTCACCATGGAAAAGTGGTGTTAGAAAATAAAAAACTAAAACTCGAATATAACGATCCATCCTTTAACGTCATCTTCGATCTTATTCCAAGACGGATCACAGACAATTTCTATACGATGTGTAAATAATATTTTTAAACTTTTTTTAACGCGAATTTTACGCGAAAAGACTGAACTTACATTTTGAATTTGTTGATCGTTCGTACGTTTTTTTTTTTTTTTATATATATATATATATATATAATATTTTTCTCTTTTAAATTTCACGTTTTTGAAAAACGATAATTCAATAAAGTATTCCATTGTACACGTTATTATCTCGAATTACGATCGTTTAAATCGATCGATTAACGTTGAACAAATTGTATTTCGTACAAAATACGCGAAGCGTAAACTTATATCCGTTCGATTTAATATATTGTTCGTTCTAGAATTTTCTAGAATTTTTTCTTCTTACTATTAAACGATTGTAATAGCTTTAGCTCTTACGTATATACGTGTATCGTAACAATATCAAATCTATAATATCTTTTTTCAATTGCTAGTCCAAGTATGTATTTTACAATTATTAGTATTAATTCAAATATGATGAAATGATCGTCGTTTCTAGAAACAAAGGCATTTTAGAAGTAAAAAATTATGTAATACAAACATATAAATAAATTTTTTTCTCTCTAAATTATCAACTTTTACATCTTATTATCGTACATTTCGTTTTTTCTTTTTTTTTTTTTGTTTTCTTTCTTTTCTTCACTGCATTGCTCTTTTACAAAGTCTGGCAAGAAGACTGTTCATTTGTAGCAAACTGTTAATTCCATCCACTATTCCCAAATGAGTTATCCCAATTTCCTGAAACGAAAATTTTAAATTTAAACTATCTCGTATATGTATATTTATATAAACATGTTATTGTATACAAAGTTGATTTAATAAACTTTTAAACTCACTTTTACGAAATCTAATTTTAACGTTTCATCGATGAGTAGATTTTTTGCAACTCTGAATATATTATTAATTATATCTTCCGCGGAATAACCCATTTTCCATAAATGTTCCATTACCTGTATTGTAACATTACAAAAAAATTGTTTTACATTCATGTATCGGACTAATGATAAATCATTTTTGGTAAGATGATAAAAGATGATCATACCCCGTATGCCTTGGAAATATTGCCCTCTGTACAAAATTCAAGCATTTCTTTAACGAGCAATGGATGTGGTTCGTCGCAAACTTTAAAAACATTTTCACTATTTACATGATTAAAACCATTATGCGTCGATTGTAAATTATTTAGGGCTTGTCTCATATCACCTTGCGCGGTAAACACTATTGCTTCCAATCCATCGTCCGTATGCGAAACCTGGTTAAATATGATAAAATATTATTAAAAATTAAAAGATTAATATATCTCGATAACATTTTTCCACGCGAATAGAGATAATAATAAATAAATATATTTAAGAAAACTTATGCCTACATCTTCCTTTTTACAAATATCGATAATCTTTGCTAAAATTTGTGCATCCGATAATTTTCCATATCTTAACATAGCACAGCGTGATTGTATTGGTTCGATAATTTTGTCGCTAGAATTACAAGCTAATGCAAATCTAGTCGTGTTGCTGTATATTTCCATAGTTCTTCTTAATGCTTGTTGAGCACCGCTAGTCATGCTATCAGCTTCGTCTAGAATTATTATCTTGTGTTTTCCTTTTGGTAGATTTACCTAAATTTGAATCGATAATACGATATTAGCTAACTTAAAAAAATGGACAAGACGAGTATATAAAATATAAAAAAGATTTTTTACCCTCTTTTGAGCAAACATTTTAATTTTATTCCTTACTACGTCTATTCCTCGATCGTTCGAAGCGTTTAACTCTAATACTGCCTCTTTAAATATTGGTCCTAATAAAATACGTGCTAAGCACAATATAGTCGTAGTTTTACCAACTCCTGGTGGACCAGCAATGATGATATTGGGACAATTGCCTTGTTGAGCAAAAACCGATAATCTGGATACCGTATCCTCGTTACCAACAATGTCGGAAAATATTTGCGGTCGATATTTCTCGATCCTTAAAAATAAAAATTTATTTTAATTCTTTAATCCTTTTCTTTTCTTTTTTTATCCTATATAAATACATTACAATTAATGAACGAAAATAGAGATATAACCTAAAAAAATATATATTCGATTTAACGACGAGAAAACGTATATTTCAATTTATAGAAAACATACCATGGCAAATGATCCAACTTTCCATCTTTCTCTTTATTTTTTACGTTATAACCACTCGTTGACGGTAAAATTTCAATGTCCATAGATTCGTCGATATCATTCTCATCTCCCATCTTTGAACATTCAATTTAAAACGCGGGAAAAACTCTCTACCGCTTCCAGATGTCCAGTACATTGTTGAAACATAGATTACGTAGTAATAAAGAAGAGAAACATCGTCTTCGTCATCGTTTTTGCTTATGACTTAATATCAATAAAGCAAATATAAATTGCATTACCGATTAATAATAATTTTTCACGCTAAAGAGATAATATCGTTAAAAAGTAAACGCTTGAAAAATTAATATTCAAAATATTTTATTATACACGTTTTATTATACAAAATAAATCTCATAATTAAAAAATAATAACTAAAAAGTAATTGTAAAGTAGATGGAATAAAAAAAAAAAAAGAGAAAAGTGAATATTTATCTCGCGATAAATATATGAAATAAATGATAATTAATGTTTATTAACGTAAATAATTTTATATTTATTTTACCATTTTATTTAAATCATTAAAACATAGATAAAATTGATACAATTAACTCATAATTATAAATCATATACCAAATTTATCATTATCGCTATTATTTCTAAGATATTATATATTTGCAAAAAAATTGTATTTAATATTAATTAGAATAAAAAATCGTATAAAAATTATATCAACATTATTGTATTGATTATAAAATTTTACCAAATCGGATAAAATAATTTTATCGATAACAAAAATAACAAAAAAGATATAATTATCATATGTTCGATAGAGTGAATATTTTTTCTTTTTAAATTCAATATTATTTAACAATATATGAATAAATGAATAACGGTTGGCGATTATATTACGATTAATGATTATATTATTTCTTATAAGGGGTCGCCGCGGTATCGATTAAATTTTTCGCATCTAGTAAAATCTCGCGAGATCGTCTCTCTTTTATAAGCATTGCGTTGGTGGCTTACGGAATGAGATTTCAATATGGCAGCCGTCGTGATATCTGCACAAGTCGGTATCGCGGAAATGTTTTGAAGTCGTTGAGTAATCGCGACAACCGGTTGACGTACAACGCATAGGTTAGTAAGACGAAATGACGTTACGTTTTTGTATTAGCTTCTCTGATTGAATCGATCAGTTTGTGTCAGGAAACCGGGTTTTCGTGAAAATTATTTTCCTCATCACGGTTGAGCCGCTAAAGTATATAGTTAAAGCCGCAGTATTGTTCGAATGCAGACATAGGTTACCTTGATTTTTCATTCTTAAATCATAGTCAAAAGCGTATCACGTTAAATGAGAATCCGACGCTCGTTTCGTTCAATCGACCAATGTATATGCATGTGACATCACGTATGTTTTGCGATTGTATGTATGCTTGATGTGTGTACGTTTTTCTCAGCTAGGCTATATACGTGTGTGCGTGTACGTGTCAGGTGTGTGGATGCTGTATCGATGCGTGTATATTCATAAAATGTTTAGAATCGTCGTTTATCTTTTATTTTCGAACGGAACATTGTTCGAGTGTCGCGCGTGTTCAAACGTCAAGAAAGAAGAAGACACGTCGTCGTGTATGTTTTTGACACATCTCGCCATGCCGAATGAACAGCATGGTTCTTCGGCCCGCTACATATCGAACAATACATTTGGGAACGGCGTTTGGTAAGTTGATGTATTTCTTCTTTACGATTCTTTTATTTATCTGACTAATTAATTCGATCGTCGCAATTTTCATGAAAAATATTTTTCCCGTTACTTTATCATTTCGATATCATTTAAAAGTGTTCCACTTATATTTTGAATATCAATGCCGCGCAAATTTTCGGTTATTTTATATTCGCAGATGAACGTGTCATTCTAATTACGTTATAGATTAGCTAATTATATAAAGTGCCTGTTGCTGTAAATATATATAGTTATGCTTATCATTTTGGCTATTATATACTAATAATTATTTCCGGTTGTTCTTGATATTCGAGATACACATACGAGAAGTCGAAAGAACATGATTCATTAATTCCTGCTTAGTTTGCATTTTTCTTCTAAATGCATTTTGTTTCCTATTTTATTTGAAATTGTTTTCATTTTGTACGCACTCGATATTCCATATAACCGATAACTATTGATTTTATATAAAATAGATAAGATTGTTTATTTAAATATATCGACCAGGTTATTTATCGTGCGTTAATAAATTGTTACGAGTAAATAAACTTTACTATATACTATATTATGTAGATATTAGATATCTAATTTGTTTTCGATTAATATTTACATTCAATTTAATTAATACGTATTTAAACGAGTTATCATGTTATAACAATAACATCATTTAACACCATTTAAATTTTTATCACGATTCATGAATTTCACGAATAAAAAAATATCTAGCTCTTATTTAATTTAATTTGAATGGTTCTTCTCGATGGAAAAACGTTTTTGAAGTTTAGAACAGAATTTTCGATAGTTATTTATAAATAAAAAAGTTATATTTTTCGTAGTACACGAAAATACAATTACGATTGATTTTATATTTATTACTAGAATCACTAGGTCCAAAGTATACAGTATATATCTTGAAAATATCTATTTTCTGTTTTTTGATCCTAATATATATTATAATTCTTTAAATTTATATCGAATAATTGTAAAATTCTTGAGAATAGATAGTTTCTAACTTGAATACGTTCTCTTCGAATCCGTAAGAAACCGTAGAAATGTAACGGTACTTTGTAAATACTTTGACATCT